TTTGAGGCGTCCTCTGTAAGATGGGGGTTACATCACAACAATCACTCCTGGATTAAAGTCAGAAACTGAGGCCCAGAGAGGTTAAGACATCGCTCAACTGGTCGCACAGCTCGGAAGCAGAGCCAGGATGTGAACTCTGGGCCTTTATGCCCGAGTTCAGGCACTGGAGCCTCAGGCATCATTCGGCCCCGGGTTGTTCGATGGAATGATGTCAATCAGATGCGGGAACTGGAATTTTCCTGAACCCCCTGTTGGCACCTGTCTTGATGCCGGAGAACTGCATCTTGGGTAATTTTAAGGACTAGAAAATAGCACAGTATCAGCACCTGTGAATGGAACTGCTACTTCTACTAGGGGTCCTTTTGCTCTCTGGGCGCTGTTTTCCACCTCTTCCTGCTTCTCCCATTCTCAAGTGAATGCTCTGCCTCTGCTTCTGTCTTGCAAAGTCGCCTTTTCCTTATTTCAAGTTGCTGAGGCAAAAGAAAAAAAAAAAGAAAAAAAAAAGGGGTTCCCCCTCAATTTATAACCCGGTGTGCTGGCTCCATCTAGTGGTTACACGTGGGAAGTACCCCAGCCTCCCTCGGACAGCAGCGGGCCAGACCAGATTTGGGGAAATGAACGCCTTGTAGCCTTGGTCTCAGGACAGAAGTAGCACCCGCCCTGAGTTACCAGAGGCCAGATTCTCCGGCGTCATCCGGGGATCTCTCCGGGGACCACGTTAACGCCTTTATTTAATTATAAACGATTTCATCAGAGGAAATAACCCCCCAAAAGTAATAGATGTCACATTTTGCCATATTTCCCTCAGCTCTCAATATCTTTTTTTTTTTTTTTTTTAAATATTTTATTGATTTTTTACAGAGAGAAAGAGAGAGGGATAGAGAGTTAGAAACATCGATGAGAGAGAATCACCCATCAGCTCCCTCTGGCATACCCCCTACTGGGGATGTGCCCACAACCAAGGTATATATGCCCTGGGTCCTTTTAGTCCACAGGCCGATGCTCTATCCACTGAGCCAAACCGGTTTAGACTCTCAGTATCTTTTTGTTGCTGTTAATCCTCACCCAAGGATACGTTTCCATTGATTTTTAGAAAGAGTGGAGAGGAGGGAGAGAGACAGAGAAACACTTCAATTGGTTGCCTCCTGCACACACCTGCACCAGGCCTCGGGATCGAGCCTGCAACCGAGGTATATGCCCTTGACCGGAATCAAACCCAGGACCCTTTAGTCCTCAGGCCAGTGCTCTAACCACCGAGCAATGCCAGTCATGGCATGTTTTGTTTTCACTTTAACTACACATGAATGTACCCATCAACAATGTGTAAATAAATGGTGTATCACATCCTAGCTGGTTTAACTTAGTGGATAGAGCATTGGCTTGTGGACTGAAGGGTCCTGGGTTCGATTCCGGTCAAGGGCATACCTGGGTTGTGGGCTTGGTCCCCAGTAGGGGGTGTGCAGGAAACAGTCCATCAATAATTCTCTCTCATCATTGATGTTTCTCTCTCTTCTTCCTTCTTTTCTAAAATCAATAAAAATATATTTTTTAAAAATTGCATGTAATATTATTATACTTAAAATAGTTTTTCTTGAAATAGTAATGTTTATTGCATGTAAATGGTTAATTACTTTGTATCTACTATCTGGTAATGGATTTATTTTGTATATTGTAAAAAAAAATAAAAAGAAAAATGGGGAAATGGTGTATTATGCATGCCCTTTTGCTACTTTTCTTTTTTGTTCAACTGATTCCTGAGATTTATAGACATTGATGCATATGGTTCCCGTACATCCAATGTATCTGCTATAACATCCCCTTGCAGGACTGAATTGTTTATCCGTTACCCTAGTGACAGAAAAGTACGGGTCCCTCCAGGGCTGGGCTCTGCACCCTCCTTGCCATAAAAGGGATACAGGCGGGAAGATGGGTGGGAACAGGGGCGGCCGGAGCCCCAGCAGACTGTCCCCATACTTAGACGAGGAAGGGGGACACCGAGCACCTCACACCCCTCTGTGCACGAGCGCCTCTGTCACATGTACACCGGCAGGACTCGGATGAGAACAGCTCCGTGTACACAGCTGCCGTGGAAAACCATTTTTTAGTTTTTCTGTTGTAGCTATGTGTGTGACCTTTTGAAGGCCAGGGTGGTGAGTGGGGATTTGAACCCACGGTTCTGAGTCCTCGGACCAGCAGCTCACCAGCACCCCCTCGAGGTTCCCTCTCAGTCAGCGAGAGGCTCCCTCCGCCAGGCCGGCAGCTGCCGGGAAACAGGTGCGGGCCGGGGGCGCTGTCTCTGGTCCTGAAAACCTCAGCCCCGCGCACCCAGAGCGCAGAGCCCTTTCTGGGCGGCATCACCCTCCCAGCCAAGCGGTTCTGCGCGCTTCCGGGGAGTTAAAACGCCGCAGGCAATGCGCCAAGCGGACACTCAGGGGAGTAAAGAAAGGGAAAGGGACGGCACAAGGCGGAGAAGGGGCCAGCCTTCCAGCGCCGGTGACGCCGACGGCAGCCACCATGGGCTCGGACGGTTTATGAAATCCCAGGGTGCAGCCTTAAAACCAAATGTGGATCTATGTACCCAGAAGCAGCCTGGCTGGTGTGGCTCCATGATTGAGCACTGACCTGTGAACCAGGAGGTCAGGGTTTGACTCCGGGTCAGGGCACATGTCGGGGTTTTGGGCTTGATCCCCAGGGAGGGGTGTGCAGGAGGCCATCGATGAGATGACTCCTTCTCATCATTGATGTTTCTCTCTCTTTCCCTTTCCTTTCCTCTCTGAAATCAGTAAGATTTTTTTTTTTTTTTTTTAAAGAAACGGTGGAGCAGGAAGCCAGGGTGGCAACATTCCTGCGGGTGGCTGCTGACCAGGCTGGTCTGATCAGATTCTCTCCCCAAGGGGGGAAGGGGGGTGACAGCTCCTACCCCTGGGATCCTTCCTCCCAGCAGGGTCACTCAACATTTTTTACATTTTCATGGGCCACTCTGTATTCTTCTGCTGCTGCTGCTTCTTTTCTGTCACATCAGAGTTTTATTGGACACGGCTCGGGACCCGGCAGGCCCAGTACACAGCCCTCAGGCAGGGCTGGAGGACGGTGGTTCCATCCAATGAGGCTCAGGGCACAGGGGAAGCCGCACAGGACCCCAAAGGGTGACACTAAAGATCACAGTGTAGCTGGGAGACGGGAGCTGCTCCACAGACATGTAAAATGCCAAATGTTTATCATAAGCATCCAGTGAAAATGACAGCTCAAATCCCTCCTTATACACAGAGCACCTAGGGCAGGGAGATGGTGGGTGTGGCCAAAGCCAGCATCCCCACTGGTCAGCGGACCCGAGACACTGCACTAGGACACTGCACACTTACAAGACCAATTATGAGCCCTGGCTGGTTTGGCTCAGCTGATAGGGTTCTGGGTTTGATTCTGGTCAAGGGCACATGCTTGGGGTTTCAGGTTCAATCCTCAGCAGGGGGCGTGCAGGAGGCAGCCGATCTATGATTCTCATCATTGATGTTTCTATTTCTCTCTCCCTCTCCCTTCCTTTCTGAAACCAACAAAAATATATATTTTTAAAAAGACCAATGATGGGGGGACTGCCCCTTGCATGTATCAGCTGTTCATTCTGGAATGAGGAGGGGCAGTCTACACATCGTATTGGGGGGCTGGTGGGCTTGGAGGGGGCTACCGTGTGGAGAGGATGAGGGTGACGATGAGACTGTAGAGGCCCAGCACCTGTGAAGGTGAGGATCAGGGCTGTGCCCACGAACAGTCTGGGCTGCTGGGCAGTGCCCACGTGCTGGCGTCCTCCACAAGCCAACGGCTAAGCCAGCTGCCAGCCCAACCAGCCAGGGCCCAGGGGAGGTCACTCCTGTAGAGACGAGGGCCTCCACTCAGGGAGTTGGCGGTAGGGACCGCCACCACCAGGCTGCAGCCCACTGGATGCCTCTGCAGCGATGGGCTGCTCTGGCCCCTGACGGACAAGCCGCGATGCCAGTGCCCTTCTTGGTGGCACCACAGGCAGCAGCCAGGTGCCCATGACCTCGAAAAAGGAGGCATCCTCAGAGCCGCTGAAACATGGAGGCGGTGTCTCCTCTGGTGTCCCACGCCACGGCACCGACCACGGTGTCCGCAAACTGCTGGCCCTTCCGTGTCCCTCCGCAGCCTGAGAGCTCTGAGGGGGCCGGGCCGTGTCTGTCCTCGCCCCTGCATGCCCCCAGGCCCCGCAGCCACGTGACCTCTGACCTGGCCACGCCGCCCGCCTGTGAAACCTCCTCTGGCTCCCCATGACCCTCCGGAACAGCGGCCAAACTCCTCGCAGCATCTGCCAGGCTTCCCGCCCCGGCTCTGCCTGGCTCTCAATCCTCTCCCGCCAGCCCCCATCACGTGACACCTTCCCATTTTCCCAAACGGCGCCCCCCGCACGCTGCTCGCTGCGGAGGTCACGCTCCTCGCTGTGCACCTGGCGAGCTGACTCCCGGCTCAGACAGGAAGGAGCCCGGGCTCCGCGGCCTGCGCTCTCCCGCCGCTCGGGGTGGCCGCGGCCCCTCGCCCGCCCTCCCCGCGCCCCAAAGCCCCGAGGGCGGGGCCCCCCGCCGCCGCCGCCGCCGCCGCCGCCCAGCGCGCAGCCGCGGAACCGACCAGCGTCGGGCGTGCGTGGGCGGGGCACGCACAGCGCCCGGGCCGTTTCCGGAAGGCGGGCGGGGGGCGGGCCTGAGCGGGGACACGCTCATTGCGGCTCCCGGAGCAGGCGGGGACCTGCGAGGCCAAAGCCCGGGGCCCACGAGGAGCCCGCGAGAAAACAAAACCGAAGACCCGGGCGCGGGGCTCAAGCCGAGCTAAGGGCCCCTCGATACCTGGCCTGCCACTCACGGAGATGGAGGTCCAGAGCCGGAAATCCGGGGTGGGCGGGCCTATGGGGCGGAAGTGACGCAACCCGGAAGTCCGGCCGGTCCCCGGGCCGCGGGGCGGGCAGTTCAGAGGCAGTGGATGCGGGGAGCGGAGCGATGCGGCCGGCCGGGCGGCTCGCGAGCGGAGCGGCGCTGTGGCTGCTGCTGGCGGCCCGGGCGGTGGCGGCGATCGAGCCCATCAGCATGGCCATCGCCGTCGGGGCCGCGTCCATCATCACCGGCTACTTCTCCTACTGCCGCTTCGCCGAGTGCTGCCCCGAGCAGCGGCCGCTCAACGCGACGGGTAGGCGGGTCGGCGTGGAGGGCGCGAGGCACCGGCCGCCTCGGGCGGGCGCCGGGCACCGGGCACCGGGCACCGAGGTGGGGGAGGGAGAGGACCGGCGGGGCCTCCTGTGGACGGAAGGAACGCCCACACTTGTCAGGATCCCTACGAATGTATTTGAGACAAACTGACAGTTCCCGGGAAGCAAAATCTCAACGGCTTGAGAAAATGCTCCGGCAAATGGCAGTTTTGCCGCTTATTTTATCCTCCAGAATCAAAGGGTAAGATGCAGGTGGGCTCGGTGAAGGTCGTCGTTGATAGATCCGGGAGGCGGGAGGAGGGTTAAGGTAAGAACACTGGAACCTGTAAAGAATTTTTGTGAGTCTGAGGGACCTGCCATGCCGGCCTCCCTGACTTGTCTTTTGGTCCCTTTCCTGTCCACGTCCCTGTCTGGGTGCTCTGACTCCGACCGAGGATTACAGCGAGAAGAAACTGAAAGTAGTGTGGTCAGCTGACCCTTGAGTGGTTTTCAGGTGTGTGGCCTCCACCCAGAGTGCCCACCTCTGGCCCTGGGCTTCTGACCAGCCAGCAGGGGTGGCTGGGGACAGCGTGCAGCTCAGTCGAGAGAGGGCTAGTCCTTGGATGAATGGATACGTGTGGCTTCCGTGCAGACACCGGAGTGTTGAGGACACTCGTCCATCGAGTGCATTTCCCTGCAAGTGGCACCGTGTGACGGCACCCCGTGTTCTGCCTGAGGGCCAGCCTGGGGTCTGGCCGAGGCCCTGCTGGGCCCCCAGCCCCGGTGCCTCTCTGGCCGGCCGGACAGGCAGCCTTGCTGGTGCCGGGTTAATGTGCCTTTCTCCCTCTGTTCCCGGCTGGCCCCTGCAGCCCTGCAGCTGGCGTTGGAGGAGAAGCTGTTTGGGCAGCACCTGGCCACGGAGGTGATTCTCAAGGCGCTGACCAGCTTCAGGAACAACGACAACCCCAAGAAACCGCTGACCCTCTCCCTACACGGCTGGGCCGGCACAGGCAAGAACTTTGTGAGCCAAATCGTGGCTGAACACCTTCATGCAAAAGGCCTGAAGAGCAACTTTGTCCACCTGTTTGTGTCGACTCTGCACTTCCCTCACGAGCAGCAGATAACCCTGTACCAGGCAAGGGAACTCTGCTGTCCTGTCTGCCCGCCATTCACCAGGCTGCCCGGCTCCTCACTCCGGCCTCCGCTGCTTCTCTGCCCACCGCACAGCCCAGGCCCCTGACTTAAGGACACTCACCCTTAACGCTCTCCTGCAGCTTCTTCCTCGCTTGGTTCCACAATAAGACAGTGGCCTGAGTGATATTTCCATTAAGATGGAGGCAAGAGGGGCGAGGCCACTTGCTCCTGACAGTCTTTGTGACCTGGTGGCACATCAGAAACTGGAACCAGATCTCCTGGCTTCCAGGCGGCAGGGTAGCCGCTTTCTGCAGGGAGTGAGCGCGCTCCGCCTCGCCTCCGGCCCCGGAGAAGGGGGGGCCGGTCTTGAAGGACACCGGTTTGCTGGGCCCGGCTCGCTAAGGCTCCCGCCCCGGGGCCCTGCTTTCCTTCCAGTGAGGGCTGCAGGCGGTTGAACCTTAAGACCACTCCTTTTGAGATGTTCTTTCCGCATTTGTTCATAGTGAGCTGTCTAGTTGGGTTCTCATTTAAGTGAATGTCATCCTCGTAAGAGTTAACATTCCTGCTGGTGGGTGAGACCGAAGTAAGAAACCGAAACCGGACCGAGCGAGAAAGTGAAAGTGGGCCTGTGCCACACGGGTGGAGGGCGGAGGGGGGAAAGGCTGCCAACCAGGAAATCGCTTGCTCGCTCGCTCGCTTGCTGCTTCCTAGAGGGCCTGCTGCCAGGGTGTCTTGTTTCAAGAAAGCCTGGGAAGAGGTGCTTTTCCTGGAGAGGCGCTGGTCCTGGGTTCGGCTCCAGCTCCTCGGCGTGCCTGCCGACGCTGAGATTGCAGCCCACAGCGAGAGGCGGCTGTGCGTTGTTAACAGTGAAATGAGGAGCATTCATGTATCCCCCTCCTTTAACAGAGTGACCTTCAGCGCGGCATCCGAGTTAGGAAAAAACCGCTTTGCATTTTAGCTCCTGTCTCTGCTGGTTTCCACTTCTCATAGGCGATGTTTTGGGAAAGTGGTTTCCCGGCGGGTGGAAGTTAGGGCGCAGTTTCTACAGGTTCTTTGTGAAGCCAGAGAGTTCCGGTTTTCCCCTCTGAGAGCACGGGGGGTAGGGGGTTGGGGTACGGGGGCATTCTGCACCCCGGGCCCACCCTCTGAGCCTCCGCGTCCTGTTTCTTTCCTGGGGGCCCAGGACCAGTTACGGAAGTGGATCCGGGGCAACGTGAGTGCCTGCGCCAGCTCCGTGTTCATCTTCGATGAGATGGACAAGCTGCACCCTGGGGTCATCGACGCCATCAAGCCGTTTCTGGACTACTACGAGCAGCTGGACAGCGTGTCCTACCGGAAGGCCGTCTTCATCTTCCTCAGGTTGGTGCCCCTCGCCCTCCCAGCGCCGGGATGAGGCCGGTGACCATCAGGGACAGAAGTGCCAGCCTGGCAAGAGTGACTTCCTGATTTCTTTCACTGTCCGGCTGCCTGTATCAGCGTGGCACCGAGGGGGCAGGAGAAAATGAATTCAATGATGGCTGATAACAGACAGTTTCATCGCCGCACATGTTTCTACGTAAAGTGGTGGTGTATGTAGCAGGTTCTAAACAAAGATCTTAAGCTCCTTGAGGGCAGACACTTTTTTTCCTCTGTCTGGTAGCACTTAGTTATGTTCTTTGGTTAAGTATAAACCTTAGAACAGGTGTGTTTCCTGATTAGACACGGAAATCTTTTTTTTTTTTTTACATGGGATTTATTGGGGAGACACTGGGTAATAAAACGGTACAGGTTTCAGGGTACAGTTCTATCACACATCATCTGTATGTTGTATCCTCCCTCCCTCCCCATTTACCCCCCGTTACCCCTTCACCTCGCCCAGCCCCGAGGTACAGACGTCTTACATGTGGTTTCCGTCTCTGTTTCTCGGACAAACCCAGCAACGCAGGCGGGGACCTCATCACGCAGACGGCCCTGGGGTTCTGGCGGGCGGGCCGGAAGCGGGAGGACATCCAGCTGAAGGACCTGGAGCCCGTGCTGTCGGTGGGAGTCTTCAACAACAAGCACAGTGAGTGCCCGAGGGCGCGCCTGCTCCTGCGGCGGAGCCCGCTGAGCCCGGCAGGGGCCTCGGAGCCCGCTCGCCCCCGGGGCTTTGCGGACCAGGGCCTTCTCGGTGTTTCTTAAGGGTTCTCTGAAAGGTGACCTCACGGGGTGATCTGATCATAGATTCCTAACTGGGAAGGCCCCGATCGGCAGTCACACCCCAGGCATGTAACTTTTTAAAGAATATATATTTTTATTGATTTCAGAGAGGAGAGGGAGAAGGAGAGAGAGATAGAAACATCAGTGATGGGAAATAATCATTGATCGGCTGCCTCCTGCACACCACACACTGGGGATCAGGCCCAAAACTTGGGCATGTGCCCTGACCAGGAATCGAACCCTGACTTCCTGGTTCATAGGTCGATGCTCAACCACTGAGCCATGTAACTTCTTTAGTGAAAGGCTTATCTTTGCTTTAACCACTTGATACATGGGACGATATTTAACTACCACTGTTTTGGTCTGCCGCTTGCATCTGCAGACGCTTGTGGCATAGAGTGGGCTCAGCAGGCCCCGTCCCTGGTTTCTGAGCATCTGGGTGAACACACCTGATTTGGTAGAATAAGCCTCTTTCCAGACCCCTCAAAGGCTCACCATCCTCAGAGAGCCCATAATCCTGCTAACCTAATCCAGCCCACCCGGCTTTCTCCCACCTCAGTCATCTTCCTTCCTTTCCCTCCGTAATTCTAAATGCGTCCACGAAGCTGCAAAGCTCTCATTCCAGAGGCTCCCCCCCCCTTTTTTGCTGAGATCATACTTCTAGGCATGTCCTCTGGCTCAAAATTAATTTTTATAAAAATTCTCTATAGGTTTGGATGTTTCCTCTCTTTTTTTTTTTTTTTTTTTTTTTTTTTTTTTTTTTTAATATATCTTTATTGATTTCAGAGAGGGAGAGGGAGAGAAACATCAGTGAAGAGAGAATCACTGATTGGCTGCCTCCTGCGTGCCCCACACTGAGGATCGAGCCTGCAACCCAGGCATGTGCCCTGACCAGGAATTGAACCCTGACCTCCTGGTTCATAGTTCGATGCTCACCCACTGGCCATTTCTTAGGCTGACATGTTCTAGAAGCCAGTTAGCAGGGGCAGCCAGCCGATCCTCACATCTGGCTTGTTGCACGCGTGACAGATAGACTGCTAAGGGGTAAAGACACGACGGTGTGCCATGGTGGGGACAGACGGGCCTGGGAGCGCAGCGGGCGGGCCGGCTGACTGGGCTGTTCTGCAGGTGGCCTGTGGCGCAGTGGGCTGATCGACAAGAACCTCATCGACTACTTCATCCCCTTCCTGCCGCTGGAGTACTCGCACGTGAAGATGTGCGTGCGCGCAGAGATGAGGGCCCGCGGCGCCGCCGTGGACGAGGACGTTGTCACCAGGGTGGCGGAGGAAATGACCTTTTTCCCCAAAGACGAGAAAATCTACTCCGACCGGGGCTGTAAGACTGTGCAGTCGCGGCTGGACATCCTGTGACCTCCATCCGAGCAGGGCAGCTGGGAGCTCAGGGGCGAGGGCCTCGCCTCTCGGAATCACTTGGAAGACGTCGTTAGGATTTGCACATTTGTACTTGTGGACTTTCGGAATCTAGGAATTTCTTTTTTAAAAAAAAATATATTTTATTGATATTTTACAGAGAGGAAGGGAGAGAGATAGAGAGCCAGAAATATTGATGAGAGAGGAACATCGACCCTCTGCCTCCTGCACACTCCCCACTGGGAACGTGCCTGCAGTCAAGGTACATGCCCTTGACCGGAATCGAACCTGGACCCTTCAGTCCGCAGGCCGACACTCTACCACTGAGCCACACCGGTTTCTAAGAGTTGATTTTTGATAAGCCGCTGATCTGCCAAGTGCCTTGTCATTTTGCAACATGGCAGCAATGCAGCTATTGTTGCCGTTGAAGATGAACTTTTAAAATCCGATCCCCCACTCCTCCTCCTGACTCTGCAGAAGTGCCTTGCAAACAGCTGTCTGACTGTGACCTCAAACTGCTGTCCCTCCTGAAGTCCAGGGCCTGCTGCGCGCTGGCAGCACGGGCTGTCACCTGCCGGAGCCAGGCTTCCGCTCCGGCCCTCTCTTCACAGAGGTCCCCTGACGGGCATTTTCCGTGGAGATTGGCGGTGCCTTCAGGCGCAGGCAGCGGCGCAGGCAGCGTCGTGGGAGGACGTGTCGGGTCCTCGTGGGTGCCGCAGCCAGAACGGGTCACCGGCGTCTGGCCGCCGCTCTGCTGCCGTGGAGCCCGCTCGCCTCTCCCTGTGGCCCTTCTCCCGGACGTCAGTGACCCCGCGCCCCCTCCAGAGCGCTGGTTTCAGTTTCAGGTCCTGGTCCCATGGGGACGTGTTTGATAGTTTACACTGGGGTCAGTCTCTCTCTCTCTTTTTTTTTTTTTTTAAAGAGTCAGTTTTGTTTTGTTTTTTTAATATATATTTTATTGATTTTTCTTACAGAGAGGAAGGGAGAGGGATAGAGAGCTAGAAACATCCATGAGAAACATAGACCAGCTGCCTCTTGCACACCCCCTACCGGGGATGTGCCCACAACCAATGTACATGCCCTTGACCGGAATCGAACCTGGGACCTTTCAGTCCGCAGGCTGATGCTCTATCCAATGAGCCAAACCAGTTTTGGCTGGGGTCAGTTTCTTGCTGTGTCCCCAGAACCATTTGGAATCCTAGAACACTGTCATCTGTGGGTGGCCCCGAGGGGTCACCTTGCAGACTTTGCATTGCCAAAGTGGAAGTGTCACACTCTAGAAACACTAGTTTTTTCACGGATGAGTATATAAATATAGAAATATATTTTAATATATTTTTGCTGATTTTAGAGAGGGAAAAGGTGGGGGAGAGATAGAAACATCAATGAGGAGAGTCATCCATCAGCTGTCTCCTGCACGCCATCCCCCACTGGGGATTGAGCTTGCAACCCGGGTACATACCCCTGGCTGGAGTCGAACCTGGGACCCTTCAGTCCCCAGGTCAACGCTCTATTCACTGAGCCAAACCAGCCAGGGCAAGGATGAGTTTATTTTTATAATTTTATTTCTGAATGTTAGAGAATACCAGTGAAGGATGTTGCTCATTTTAAACATGAGAATGACACTAATGGAATAATTGTCTGCGATCAGAAACCCTGAAAATAAAGGATATGATTTACTGTCAAATGCATGGTACTGGATTGTCAATATTGCAGAACAAAGTAATTACAGGGCAGCCTGAAGTTCATCTGATGGTGACGCCCTCGGTGGCAGTGCCAGGCTGGTGCCCTGGTCCCCGGGAAGTCAGACGATCCCAGCCCGTGGGAAGCGTTCAGCTCGTAGTTGCAATGGAACTACAGGTGTAATGAGGATGTGCAGCCTTTTCTTGCAGGTGTGGTAGATGAATATTTTTATGACATGGAAGGCCTTATGGAGGATCACACTGTCCTTTAAAAATGCCAGTGAGGCAGCGAATGCTCAAATTGGAGGGACCTTTTTCTGCACAGAGCCATTTGGTTATCTGTTAACATCATTCGTGGGCCATACAAAATACCAGCTTAAAATCAGCCTGCTATGTTTGGTCAAACACTTAATTAGCTTATCCCCGATGCTTTGGCAGGGCCAGACCAGATGATTTCATGGGCCCTATGTGGCCCTCGGGCCGAACGTTCCCCACCCCTGGTTTACAGTGATGCAGTCAACTCTTCAAAACTGCCCGTTCTGAAAGTAATCGCGTGGGTGTGAGGTGCAGGGACTCGTCAATAACTGTGTCAGATGAGACCAGCTACTGGTTTGTAGCTTGAAAAGGCCACAGTTGACCACAGCCCAGCCTCCCTTCCCCCCACGAAACATACCCTGGGTCATGTTTTGAGATGACCCAGGGGATATACAATAATAAAGCCAGAAGTTGATCATGTGAGATGTCATTTGCAAATGTCCCCCCTAGTTAACGTACTTGGTAACTAAAATTTGAGCTGGAATGAAGGCTCAACAACCCCGGCCATGCTGGTTGGCAGTCAGCATCGCACAGAACCAGTATTTACCCCACAGGCTGTTACCCCAGATACCACGTTAAACTGGATGAGGTGCTATTCTCCATATTTTTATGGATGCAGATAGTATCAGGGAGTTGGATTTTCAGTGTCTTCTAAGACAAGTGGAGGGACTGAGACAAGGGAAAACGCAACTTGGCTGACGTTTTTTATTTTTAAAGACAGAGAAACATCAATGTGAGACAAACATCAATTGGTTGCCTCTGAGCTTCCAACCAAGGTACATGCTCTTGATTGGAATCGAACCTGGGACCCTTCAGTCCACAGGCCAATGCGCTATCCACTGAGCCAAACTGGCCACGGCTCAGCTGACATTCTGGACCTGAGCAAGGCCGTCGTCAGACCAGGAAACCGAACTGCCAGGTCTTCCGCCCAGAACTGGAAGCGAAATCCTGGTTGTAACCCGGAGCGCAGCTTAATCACACTTACCTGCCTCTTAGCTGTCTGAATGGTACCGCCAGCCCTTTCCCCAGCACAGAGGAGAACCGCAGACTTAACCCTCTTCCCGTTGCCCACTCGCCTCCCCTCTCAGTTGGAGGTGCTCAGGTCCCAGGAGACATTCCTGGTCGGGCTCCCACCCAGACCGCCTCATCTACCAACAACTCCAAATGGCGTCAGGGGACCTCTGTGCTCTGTGGGGGACCCCCAGGTGCTGCCATCTTCAAATGGATGATCAGCCCCAATCTGTGACTCCTGGCGGCAGGCCACATTCGGCTCAACGTCAAGAGCTTTCCAACATGCAGAGCCGTCCTCGGGGGCCAGGGCAGCAAAGGGTCCTGCGTCAGCCCACACCAGGCTGCCATCTGTGCCCGCGGAAGCCTGTCCCCGGGAACGTTGCTCAGGCCTCACCCCCAGGAGCCCATGTTCGTAGGCGCATGTGTGGATTGTGTAACATGTCTGGCGTCTGGACTTGGCCTCCAGGGCCGGTGTGGGACTCCAGGAGCCGCACCACGGTCTGCGATACGCCAGGCAGCGGGGCGAGTGGCCGGGGTGTCCTAGGGTCCTCGGTCTGCGTTAGAGTTCCCGTGATTCCGGCCTGGACTGCTCCTGCTAGGTCTTCATTCATAGCTTACCGTGAGCACACGAGGCCTACAGGGAAGGGTTTTCTCCTTCAACACTGTCCAGAGCCCTAACCGGTTTGGCTCAGTGGATAGAGCATCGGCCTGCAGATGAAGGGTTCCAGGTTTGATTTCGGTCAAGGGCATGTATCTTGGTTGCGGGCACATCCCCAGAAAGGGGTGTGCAGGAGGCAGCAGAGAGATGTTTCTCATTGATGTTTCTAGCTCTCTATCCCTCTCTTCCTCTCTGTAAAAAATAAATTAAAAAAAACACAAAAACTGTCCAGAAATGAGTTTTATTGTGAAACAGGAGGCCCGGTGCATGAAAATTCATGCACTGGATGGTGGGAGGATCCCTCAGCACGGCCTGCCCCCTCTCACTGTCCCGGAGCCCACAGAGGCAGGAGGCAACCCGGCGATCAGAGGAAGGTCATGCCCCCATCACATCTCTGCTGGCAGCACAAGCCTCGGCTGGTTCCTGAGCCTTGGGCAGCCGGGCAGCTGCCATCCAAGGCTTGCCTGCACCTTAGACCGGCCCTGAGCAACTAGGGGGCTGAGGGGACTGGGCACTGCCATCTTGTGGGTGTGGGTGCCGCTATTTTTTTGGGGTGTGACAGTCAATTAGCATATTCTTATTGGCTGTGGGTGCCACCCTTTGTGAAGGCATGGTCAATTAGCATATTCCCTCTTTATTAGATAGGATGATAGCTCCTGGCATTAACAGAAACACTGTTCTCCAAGAGGTCACATGATTGATTGGGGCAAGAACACATGCCCAGGTTATGGGTTCCATCCCCAGTCGGGGGTATGCAGGAAGCAGCCTATCAATGTTTCTCTCTCTCGCTCTCTCCCTTCCTCTAAAAATAATTCAACACTTTATAAAATTATGTTAAAAATAAAAACACTGGGGGCAGCTGAGCTTTCCTGAGATCCTGGGAGTCTATCGGACACGGAGAGCAGTGTTAGAGGAAGGCTCTGAAAGGTGGCGAGCTGCCGGAGCACCGGTTCCGGGGAACGGGAGGCAGAGACCTTCCTGGCAGGGCAGCTCACCGGCTGGCAAGTGACAGCTGGAAGTACTTTCCTTTCTGGGAAACGTTCTGTCTTAAATATGTTTTTATTGAGTTTTAGAGAGAGGGAGGGAGAGGAGTAGAGACAGAAACATCATTGAATAGCTGCCTCCTGTATGCCCGCCCCTGGGAATTGAGCCTGCAACCTGAGCATGTGCCCTGACAGGAGTCGAACCCGTGACCTCTCGGCGCCCGCAGAGCCACCCCCGGGCTCCGGGGAGTTCTCTGACAAGTGTTCACAGTGCTGCTGGGATGAGAGCCCGGGAGGACCCAGGCTTCCTGCGACGCGCCGGGCCCTTCCTCCGTGTCCTTCCCTAAGACTGCACTGCCCTCGCCCTGTGCCCGGGACAGGGCGGCCGGGCGCAGCTGTCCCACCGGCGCAGGACGGGGCTCTGGCAGTCGAGAGAGCACGTCGCGAGGATGGGAACTTGACAAACCACTCACAGCCAACACGGAGTCTGAAAAGCTTCTCAGAATGGTAAAACCACTTTAAATAAAATTACCCCGTTTCAGTAAAACTTTTCGTCCTTCCTTGAAACAGAAACACTTGAGGTTAAAACATGATTTTTAAAAAACCATGAGCCTTGATCCGAGTGGCCGGGAGCGGCCTCCAACGGCGAGGAGCCGCCCGCAGGCCGCTGGGCGCACGGCGCGGGAGGGCCGCGGCCACAGGAGCGCACTGCCTCCCGCCCGGGCTGCGGTGTGGACGGTTCGAGCACAGTTCTCCGCGTGCCAGGACCCCGGCGTCAGTCATCGTAGTAATAGTCCAGCTTGGTGAACACCGTCTTGCAGCCTTTGTCAGAGAAAACCCTCTCGTCCTTGGGGAAAAAGGTCATCTCGTCGGCCACCCGGGTGACAATGTCCTCGTCCACATCATAGCCCCGGGCCTGCATTTCCACGCGGACGCACATCTTCAGGTGCTTATACTCCAGGGGGAGGAAGGGGACGAAGTAGTCGATGAGATTTCGGTCGATTAAGCTGCTGTGCCAGAAGCCACCTGGGGAGAGAGGGTGCGGTCATCCTCGGCCCCCGCCCTCTGCCCCGCCCACCCCGCACGTCTCCCGCACCTGCCCGCGGGAAGCACCGATCCAGTGAGGCAGGAGGGATGACCTGCCGGCTGTGATGCTTCTGTGAAAGCCCCAGGGGGAGGGGGAGGGACACTTTGGTGACACCGGGCTCCGGGAGACCTCTAGGTGTGACAAGATCTGAGGCGGTCGGAGGCCCACCACTCTGGGTGCCCGTGGCCCGGCGGAGGCAGAGGAAAGGGAGTGATTCCGATTCAAGGAAAGGCCAGAGTCTTGGCGAGAGACAGACACCCATCTATTCTGAAAACTCACTCCCTGGATGAGCAGCTGGGGAGAAACCCACTGCAGCTGCCGGCAGGTCCAGACAGAGCATTTGGGGGACCAAAAACCAGCCCCCCTGAGTAAGAATGTGGGAAGCCCCCAGGCTGCAGGAAGCTCTGCACCCACCCAGGCACCCCACCCTGGGCAGCCCGGGCCTCCTGCCCAGCACTCGCTCCATCCAGGAGGACACATCGCCCACTGGACTCACCAACCTCTCCAGCGTCTCCCTCCCACCCTGCTTCCCTCCGGGCCTTCACCCTCTCCCACGTGAAGTGATCCGCCCACACAGTTGGTCCCACAATTCAAGTCCATTCTGTCGCGGTCCATTCTGTCGAGGGCTCAGCACCCCCACTTCTGCCAACTGCAAGTTCAGGTGTCACCTGCGCTCTGACCGACCAGCTAGAGGCTCCCATGATCCCCTCCTTGGGTTCAATTGATTTGCTAGAGCAGCTCACACACCTGGAGAAGCATCTTACTTAACCAGGGCAGTGGTCCTCAGGGCCAAATATCAACAGCACAACGAATGAAATTTCGTTGGAGAGCCAAATTTTTTAAACTTAAACCTCTTCTAATGCCACTTCTTCAAAATAGACTCACCCAGGCCGTGGTATTTTGGGGAGAGCCACACTCAAGGGGACAAAGAGCTGCATGTGGCTCGTGAGCCGAAGTTTGCCGACCGCTGTACTAGGTTACCAGTTTATTATGAAATGAAGAGCCAGATGGAGACTCAGACACACAGTAACACTGTGATAACTGCACGGCGGCAGGTGGGCACTGCAATGCCACTGGCACTGTAAAGCACATGACTGTCTAACCACATGTACACCTGGCACTAATGCAGAGCAACAGGGAGCTCAGCTGTAATGAGAAGACGCGGAGGGCGAGCCTGCGGACAGGACACAGCTGCCAGGCCCTCTCCGAGTGTGCCCCGACCCAGGAGCTCCCGGAACCCCGTCCTCTGTCGTTTTTATGTATGTGGGCTGCGTTACACAGTTACCTCCGAGTCAACCTCCTCTCCCCGTTCTCATCACCCTCAGGTGCTTCCCAAAACCAGCTCATTAACTAACAAGCTCAGGCTGGGGCTGAATTTGTTCTGAATGCACCACATGGTCTTCTCACGTAGGAAATTCCAGGGTTTGAGCTCTGTGCCAGGATGGAGTGGAGTCTGAGGCATGGGAAGGAGCGAAACCGACCCCGGGCAGCAACAGAACAGCCCCTCCTGAAGGCCTGCCTGTGCCAGGCTCGCCAGGGCCAGGCAGATGAGGATGCTGCCCTCACTCACTCACTCACTCACCCGGTTCAGCAGCCGAGCCCCAGGAGGCCGGACACAGGAATTCAGAGTGCGGGTGGCTGTGAATGAGGGGCCATGCGGTCAGGCGAGGCCGGCGGAGGGGGTGCTCCAGGCAGAGCCTGAACAAGGGGCCCCACACCAAGACCAGGGAGAGTGTGCGGTCACCGCAGGCCCGCGGCTTCAGAAACCATCCACCTCCCCAGTTTGTGTCCTCAGTCCGACGCCCCCGGAATTGCCCGGAACAACCAGCCGTCAGCTCCTCATCTCTGCCGACACCACCACCATGTCTCACTCACTGAACACGTCCGCGTCCACCTCCCGCCTTCCTCACCAACCTGCGACTCCGAGTCTGTGTCCGTACGTGGCAGTGCCACCCTCGGAGTGCTAAAGCAGACCCTGGTTTGTCTCTCGTTCCCACACACAATCCTTTAGGAAATCTCAGTTTCCACCTTCAAAATGCACCCTAATCCGACAATGTCCCACTCCCCTGCCACCCGCTGCCGCAGGCCCCCAGCACTTCTCCGCTGGGTGGTCCCCGGCCCCTGCCACCTGCAGGCTGCTCGCCACCAGCAGCCAGCGCGGCCCGTTAAGACTAAGTCAGACCATGTCACTGTCTGCTAGGAACCCCGCAGGGGCTCCCTCTCCACGTGGAGTCAAACCCAAGGCCTCACCATGGCCCCCAGGCCTCTGAGCTGCACCCCCGCTGCCTCCCCTCTAATCTGTCTCCTCTGCTCACCCTGGGCCAGCTCCAGAGACCCAGGCGCACTCCCACCTTGGTGTCCACAGGGCCCGGCCCTCACTCCTGTCAGCTCAGTGCCACCCTCAGAGAGCCCTCTCTGACCCCTCTATCTAAAGCCACAGCCCACCCTCATCCCAGCACCCCAAACCTTTTCTTAACTGCTTTCTGCCTCTTGGGGGGAGGGTAGAGGGAGATACATACTGCCTCTATTAGATACACATGTAGCCCATCATCCGACACATTTCCTTCTCATTCGTTATCGTTAGGATATACATTCCTTGAGAAGGACTTTTGCTGTTTTTAGCCCAGTGCCTGACTCCTGGTCGTTGCATAATAAATGTTTGTCAGATGAATGAGGGAGTTCAGCCACCTGCCCAAGGCCATCAGCAAGCAGCTAGGCCAGGTCTGCCCAATTCCAAAGCTCAGCTCCTGCCCTGGCACCCGCTTCGTAACCTCCTAGGCACCTGGCAGCGCCTGCTGCAGAATTTAGGCGAAGTTTCCACTGCACGTGGCCACCTTTTGGCACGCCAAGAAACCAGTGAACATGTTACAGGATACTGTCCCTCATCAGTGACATTCCAGTTGCACAAACGGACATACACTACCCCAGACGCTACAGAGCGTGAACTTCTTGGAGTCTGTGTAGAAGGAACCCTTTTGCTCTGTCATCGCAGGCACAAACCCAAGCAGAGCGGAGACCTGAATGGTCAGTGCCACCCAGCAAGTCTCCATCACGCTGGCTCTCCGCCTCCCAGGGCTCAAGGTCTACGGTGTGAGCTTCAGTGAAGAGCACCGAGCTGGGTGGTTAAAGCTCAGGCTCTGGACCCAGGGTCAGTAGCAGGCTGTGTGGATGTGGGCTAGCTGCCACAGCAGCCTGCGCCTCAGTCTCCTCATCTGTAAAACGGGACGGCAGTGACTAGCCTCTCCCCCGAGGTGGCTGTGAGGGTGCCACAGGAAGATGCAGGGAGAGTCCCGCACGGCGCCCAGGACAGACGAGCCTCACTCACGGAGCTGAGCTCTGGGCCACCCAGAGAGCAACAGCCCACCGGCGTCTCCTCCCCCGGAGGCGCCCACAGCGGAGTCCTTGCTCAACCATCTGCTCTTCTGAGACAAAGGGATCAACCGCCGAGGAGAACAGGAACTCATTTCAAGAACTCCCCACGAACCACTTCCCCCTTCCCAACAGACTCCCTCCTGCCGGCGCGGGGAGGGGCGCGGGCTCCCCAACTCACTGTTCTTGTTGTTGAAGGCGGACACCGACAGGGCGGGCTCCATGTCCCGCAGCTTGATTTCCTCCCGCCGCCGCCCGCTTCGCCAGAAGTCCAGGGCCACGTCTGTGATCCTCTCCGCCCCGGCGTTGCTGCAGAGCAGGTGCGGGGAGTGAGCGCGGGCCTTCCCCAGGCCCGCAGGCTCCGGCTCCGAGCTCCGCCGCGCCCCGCCGCCCGGACGTACCTGAGGAAGATGAAGATGGCTTTCTGGTAGGAGACCCCGTCCACGTGGTCGTAATAGTCCAGGAAAGGCTTGATGGCATCGATGAGGCCGGCGTGCATCTTGTCCATCTCATCGAATATGAAGATGGACCTCGCGCAGGCGCTCACGTTGCCCCGGATCCACAGCTGTAGCTGGTCCTGAATCGCAGGGGAAGCGACACGAGTTCTCAGCAGGCGCAGCTCCGACCCCAGCACGGCACCCGGCACCGGTGAACCCCAGCCGCTTCCGAGAGGCTGAGCGCTCACTGCAGCCTCAGCTCCGAGCTAACAACCTTACACACACAGCCCCTCCGATGGGTGTTATCACACCCATTTCACAGCTGAGGACACAGGCACGAGCTTAGCCAGCGTGCCCATTATAAAACTACTGGGATCTGAACCCCACCCTGCCGGATTCCAAAGCCCCCACTTGGATTATAATTCCTGTGCTGTCACCCCTAAGCTGTGGCACTGAATTGCCGGCCATGTTAACACACTTCCTGTGCACACGGGCCTTCTAGAAGGAAGAGAGAGGACGAGAGACCCGTTCTGCCATCAGTCCTCAGCACAGCCTCGGGAAGGCTCTGGCCTCCTGAGGGGGAAAGGAAGGCGTGCAGGCTCCTTTAAGTGAGGCGCCTGGACTCGAGAGAATGCGTCTTGGCATGTGTGGCCAGCTAACACTCCTGAGGTTCTGGGACAATGCCCACGGCTGTGCTTAAGCAGAAACATTCCCTAAGAACACATTCAGGTACTTCTTAGAAAAGCAAGCAATTGCCCTAGCTGGTTTGGCTCAGTGGGGAGAGCGTTGGTCGACGGACAGAAAGGTCCCAGGTTCGATTCCCGTCAAGGGCATGTACCTTGGTTGTGGGCACATCCCCAGTAGGGGGTGTGCTGGAGGCAGCTGATCGATGTTTCTCTATCATTGATGTTTCTAACTCTCTATCCCTCTCCCTTCCTCTCTGTAAAAAAATCAATAAAATATATTTCTTTAAAAACAACTAACCAATTAAGGAGAAAAGACCTATTTAATCAGAAGTTTGAGCTATGGTGCTTTTCTGAATTCCCCACACAAGGTGAAGAGAAGAAATGAGCTGTTTTCAGCTTTGACTTCTTATGATTTTGGTGTCTGCTTGGCTACCTGACCAGCAGACCCGGGTTACAATGTTCCATTGTGTTTATCTAACCTAAGTAGGAATTCTGCTCTAAGGAGGACTAGTCTCTGTGCACAGAGGAACCTCAGGAAAGCACGTGGCCCCAAATCAAGTCACTGTTTAAACAAGGACTCACTCAGATCTGCTAGTTCTCCTTCTCTGTCTCCGAGACTTTAGGCAATAACAGAGAACACGTACTGAGCCCTCACTAGCGGCCAGCCGCCCTCTGACCTCTACTCCATCATGTCTTATTGTGAGCTCCCCAGGCCAATCCAATGTGTGCACAACAGAACACCATTGCACTCTATTTTACAGCTGAGGAAATTAAGGCACAGAGAGGGTAAGTAACTTGCCCAAAATCACACAGCTAGTAAGTTATGGAGCCTGAATGCTAACTAGGATGACCCACTTGACTCAATTTGTCTGGAATTTTCCCAGGTTTGGCACTAAAAATCCCACATGCTAGGAACCCTGGGCAGTTGGTCACCCAAGCAGAAGGGGGAAAACGTGTTTTTCAAGGTGAGGGCTAAATGGCTACGTCTTGCCATCTTGCGGGTTTGTTACACAGATTAAGAAAGGTGACAGTTAACGCTTATTCGAACACTCATGTGCCAGGGACCAGGACACACACGTGACAGGCAGAGCTCACGGAGTGCTCATGGCCCCATTTCACAGATGAAGAACTGAGCCTCCGAGAGGTGGGGCAAGCTTCCCAAGGTCACACAGCTGGTGTGGGCGAGTCAGGACTCAAATCCAGACGTGTCTGCCGCCAAAGCCCAGGCCGGTGACCAGCGACAGAAAACAAAAGCGGTTTGCCACACTGCAGGTAGCAAACTTCGGCCTCTCCAGAAAGGTTTCCTCTTCTACAAAACGAGTGAGGTCTGAGGATGATTTTTAGTCGGATGTGGCTGTGGCCGTTCCCAAGATCCCCTGCCCCCACTTAAAACGAGCAACACACTGGGCCTGACTCGAAACCACGAGGTTTGATAGCGGAACTGCTCCGGGCATCTGAAACCCTCTGTGGCTGCCATTTTCAGGGCTCACTCCTTCTAACCAGCAATCCCCAAACCTCACCCCACACCGGAGAAACCCCCACGCAGCGCCCCGGCAAGGACCCCCAGCGCCCCGCTTGCCTTGTACAGGGTGAGGTTGGAGGCGTGCGGGAAGTGCAGCGTGGCCACGAACAGGTGCACAAAGTGGCTGTTGAGGCCGCCCTCGTACAGGTTCTCGGCGATGATCTTGCTGGCGAAGTTCTTGCCGGTGCCGGTCCAGCCGTGCATGGAGAGCGTGAGCGGCTTCTTGGGCTTCGGGTTGCTGATGAAGCCGGTCAGGGCGTTTAGGATGACCTTCTTGGCAAGATGCTGCCCGAAGAGCTTGCGGTCCAGGTCCTTCTGCAGCTCTGGGGAAAGCGGAGCCCGTCAGGGCGGTGCGGGCGGGATTCGGCCGCGTTTCCAGCCGCGGGCTCCCGGGGAGGCGAGGAAGCCCCGGAGCCGGGGCCGGCGGGTGGGCCCGGGGACCCCTCTGCTAGCGCGGCCCATGCACACGGGCCCCAGCCGGGCTGCTCCCCTGAAAGGGCCGCGGTTCCGCGCCCCCCGCCGCAGCCCCTCTCCCCGCCCCGGCCCCGCGCCCCCCGTCCCGGCCCCGCTGCCCCCGTCCCGGCCCCGCTCCCCCCGCCGCAGCCCCGCGCCCCCCGCCCCGCGGCGCAGGCAAAGGGCCGCGGTTCGGCCGCGGGGCCCGCCCGGAAGAGCCCGCCATCCTTCCCGTCTCCGGCCGCGAAGGCGCACGTCTCTTGGGGCACGGCGGCCAGGCGTCCCGATTTCTAACAGGGCTGTCCCGCGGCGGTTTACAAAGTCCCGATTTTCCCCGTGACTTTTTAAAGACGCCGCGGGACGCGGGACAACTTGTCAGAAATGGGGACGTCTGGTCCCTTATCTTTGGGGGAAGTCACCCCCGCCCGCTCGGCGCCCGCCCCGTGTCTGCGGGAAGCACCCGGCCGGCAGTTCGCCTCCCGGTCCGACCGAAGCCCGGCCGCCCGGGGCGGTGGCGCAGCGCCAGGCCCCACTCGCACCCCGGCCGCCAGGCACCGGGCACCGGGTCCGGCCCGCCGGCCTCTGCTCGCCGGGGCGCCCCGACCCCGCCTCGGACCGCCGGCCGCCCGGCCGCCCGCCCACCTTCGCGGCGGAGGCTCCGCTTGTGGTTGCAGCACTCGGCGAAGAGGCAGTAGAGGCGCGGGTAGGAGATGTAGCTGGTGAGCACGCCGGCCAGGGCCAGCCCCAGGCTGATGGGTTCCACCGCGCGCGCCAGCGGCGCCAGCAGCAGCAGGCCCAGGGCGGCCCGGCCCAGCTTCATGCCCGGACCCCCGCCGCCCGGCGCGCCCTCAGCCTTCCGCGGCCCCGCCGCACCGCGCTTCCGGCTCCTCCCCCTCGCCGCCGCCATCTTTGCCTGGGGCGGGCCTTTCCGCGACGCCGGCGACGCCATCTTTGTTAGGGGCACCGCCATTTCCTGCTTCCGGGAGACGGCGCCGGAAGCTGATGGGGGCCACTGCTTATTTTCAAGTTTTTTTTTTTTTTTTTAATTTTACAGAAAAATTGAGGGCACACATGCCTCCCCCGCCTGGCACACAGTTTCCCCTATTACTAACATCTTTCTGTAACATATGAACCTGTATGGATACTAAAGCTTGTTCAGATACTTCCTTGGTTTTTACCTGTTGTCCTATTTCTGATCCAGGATCCCATCCAAGATACCACATTATACTTAGTCTCCTCTTGATTGTGGGTGTTTCTCAGATTTTCCTTGGTTTTGTAGGAAGCCCCCCTATTGGAATTTGTCCCATGTTTAGACTGGGGTTATGGGTTTTGGAATAAATAAATGTACAGAGGTAAAGTGCTATCTTTGTAACATTGTATCAAGGGCACAGACTATCAGCATGATTTGTGACTACTGATGTTGACCTTTATCACCTGGCTGAGTCCCAGTTGTCAGGTTCCTCTACTATAAAGTTGCTCACACTCATTCATGCATAGTTTGGAGGATTACCTATGTCCCAGGTTAGACACGATTCCTGCATTCACCTTCACCTTGCACAACGCACACTCTCAATCAGCCTGGAAATCACCCGACCTGTTATTTCCTCATTCCAAGATGTTCAAAGGCTTCAGGAAAAATGACAGCACAAGTGGCACTCAACTTGACAGCTAACAAGTTGGAGCCTGTCTCTTGAACTAAATAAGCAGTTCTTTTGAGCTGCCCATGCCCCAGGCTCTGAACACATTGATTAGTATTGGTGTGAGGAGACGCAAAATGAACAAGAAGGCTAAATTCATCTCATATTTAATATAGAAGTGCGGAAGTGATAGAGACAGGTAAGTTTTCCTTCTTAATGAAAAGAAATAGGTAACTTTGTAAAAGTCAGAGAATACCAGTGTCTCTTTGATCCCATTCTAGAATTTTCTACCGTTCACTGGAAACAGGGAAGGATGCATTTCTGAACCCCATTCCAGATCACTGGAAGTAGAAGACATGATCACACATATAATAAAAAGCACAATTTAAAGCATACTAGCTCCACCCTGAACACTCAGCTCTTTTCTCCTGAGTCAGGAAAAATATTAAGAAAAAGTCAACATTATTTACAAACAAGATTTAATAACATTCACAAGAATAGTTTGTCTCCAAATAAGAAAACCATGTATTGTTTTGTTTCAAAAGGATACAAATTTAGAGCTTGAAAAATCCAGCAGGTAAGGTAAGCAGCCAGACGAGGAGTCTGTTTCTGGAACTGTCTGCTAGCCAACGGTCAGGGTTCTGTCCAGGAAGGCTTTACCATGGGGCGAGAGCAGTGCTATTTACATCCCAATCCGCATTCTTCCCTGTGGCTGCCCTCAATACCGTCTGTTCATCTTCTTGAACTTCTCATAATGATAGTCATCGGTGGCCTTCTCGTTAGCAGGACGCTTGCGGTTTGGGGGGGACCCTGTGGAGGAAAAGGGGAAAGTCACTGACAGGCGACTTCCCTGTGGGCAAGGACGTCTCCACAGAAGCCCCAGGGCTACCCCTGTGAACAGGAACATAGTAGGGCCTCAGCTAACACTTGTTATTGAGTGACTGAAGACATACGGAGTTGGTGCCAGCCAAACTGTGCTGACCTCAGCATCCTACTACGTGAACAGTAGCAGCCACACTGCATTGAGTCCGACTCCATCAGACAAGGTCCTGTCCATTAGCCATGGCTTCCTTTTACCCTCAGCAAACCTAGCAGGGCACCTTACCATCTCTGCTCAGAGAGGTCAGGTGACTTGCTCAGATGAGGCAGGCTGAGAGAGGCATCCCAGTCTGGTGACTCCAAAACCCTCGCTTACCATGTGTCTAACACAAAGCTCTTTGGGAACCCAAGACCATAAAACCAAGACGTAAGGAAATAGTTTCCCGAGTAAGAAAGAGGAATGAGAGGCTTTTCAGAAGCCTCAGCAAATGTCCCATTTCCTTAGTCATCCCATGGCTGATGAGAGGGTGACTCCCCAGGTGCAGGCAAGCGTGTGGGAGAGTCTCTGCGGGCTGCTGGGGAGAACAGGAGCATCCGCCTCTGGAGGACCCTTTGGGGACTTCTCCAAAGGCAGCCTAAAGGCATGATGGTCAAGAATGAGCACCAGCCGAAACCAGTTTGGCTCAGTGGATAGAGCGTCGGCTTGTGGACTGAAAGGTCCCAGGTTTGATTCCGGTCAAGGGCATGTACCTTGGTTGTAGGCACATCTCCGGTAGGGGGTGTGCAGGAGGCAGCTGGTCGATGATTTTCTCATCGATGTTTCTAGCTCTCTATCCCTCTCCCTTCCTCTCTGTGAAAAATTAATAAAATATATTTTTTTTAAAAAGGAAAAAGAAAAAAGAATAGCACCAAAGCACCATTTAAAGAGGGCAAATGGGAAACAAGCTAAGTGGCCAACCAGAGGGAGAGGGTGAGACATGTGTTTACTGACACGGAGACATGCGGGAGACCCCTGAGTGAAACGCTGAGAGATCCTTCTGGGTACATACCATGTTTCCTGTATGTGAACAAGTCTGAAAGATGGTACACACAATGTTAACAGTGGTTGTCTCTGGGTGGTGAAACTGTGAATAACTTTCCATTTATTTTTGTTTATTGAAATTTTGTAATTTTTGAGTCTCTGTGTTTGACAGCCCATGAGCCCTCAGAGCAGCCCCAGGTGGTAGGTTTTATTCCCATTCCCAGTTTGTAGATGAGGAAACTGAGGCTTGCAAAGGGGAAGGGCCAAGGCCGTGGTCCAGAACGTGGGCTAAAACTCAGATGCCCGCAGCCCGAGCTCCCGCCTCCTGTGACACCCCCCCCCCCCCCCCCCCAGGCTGCCAGGCCCCGCTGTACTCACGGTCAGGCTCGGGCTTCTCGGTGTCGCCCACTCGCAAGGGCCGGGCTTTGGGCTCTTCCTTGTTCCTCCGAATGGGGGCGTTGAGCTCCTCGTGATAAACTGGACCAGAGAGCAGGGGACATGTCAGACAAAACCCGGACCCAGGGACCCCAAACCCAGGGGCGGGGGCGGGAGGGGCTGCTCCCGCGAGGCTCACATCGGTTGTGCTGCACGTAATTCACCGCCATGTTGGTGGGCACAAAGGATGTCTCGCTGTCTTTCTTCTTGTTCTGCTGCTCTGCCAGCAGGCGGGCCTTGGCATCCTCCGTGGAGATGATGTTTTTTATTTTAGCGCTAAGGGGAGAGAGGAGCCATGCCACGCATTAGATTGCCGCCCCTCGGGCCCTCAGGGGTGACTGGTGCAGCTGGCAGCCCACCACTGCAGAAGGAAGTGCTCGTTCCTGGGCCCAGCTCTGCAGTTTACGAGCTCCCCTGCAGCCGCACCCATGGCATTCCTAAGCACGGAGAGACGAGGGACTTATTCTCCTCTGATTAAGAGGAAACTGCCTGAGGCTCAGAGCTGGAAGGCCAGGACAGAGGTGAGAACCCGGAGGTCTCCCACCTTCTGCTCAGCCAGAGGATTCTGACCTGCAGTTCCTCCATGGCAGCCCCCTTTAGAGCAGATGTTCTGGAGTGAAAACGAGAGCAGGACCGTGGGGTGGCTAAGCCTCTAACAATGCTCCTCCTCCAATAAAACAGAACAATAGCCAGGCACGTGACTCAGTGCTGAGCGTGGACCTCTGGACCAGGAGGTCACAGTTCAAGTCCCCGTCGGGGCACATGCCCAAGGTGTGGGCTAGATGCCCAGAACGGGGTGTGCAGGAGGCAGCCAGTCGATGATTGTCTCTCCTCATTAATGTTTCTATCTCTCTCCCGATCCTTTCTGAAACGAATAAAAAGACATTAAGAACAACAACGGAAGAACACAGGGCCTGACTACAACAGCTGAAGAGCTGAGAAGGAAGGCTGAATCAGCCATCAGGGTCCTTAAGTGTCTGTAACTCCTCTGCCCAAAGCTGCTGGAGACAACCACCTCAGCCCGCCAGAGAGGACACAGGTTTGTGGTTTCCAAGGAGACAGGTGAAAAAGTCCCCTGACTTCTAACCGGAAAGCAGCATGGTCCTCCTGCAGCCGCGGGCAGGAGAGGCCAGGCGAGGGTCTGGACGTACTCGATGCCCAGGTCCACCTCGGGGATGCCGCTCAGCATCTGGTTGGAAAGCATCTCCTCGGTCTTCTTTGCTGAGGAGACTCGGATGTTTTCCGGAAGCTCGTAGAGACAGTCCTCTGCGTTCTTGGGCTTTACTTTCTGCTCTTCGTGCTCCACGATCCCTTTCCTCTTCTTCAGCTCCGTCTCAATGTACTTCATCCTGAAACCAGAAGCCAGGTCTCAGGGAGGGGCGGGCGCTCCCAACAGGCACCTTTGAAATGAGCGGCCCCAACGCGGCCCCCAGAGCTGTGACGCTCCGTGAGGAGGTTCTCGTCAGTCCATGGAGAGGTGAGGAAAATAAAAACAACGAATTTCTCCTTCAAGTTAAAATTTACAACTTATATTTTGCGATTACGTGCCACCAATCTATAGTTGCTATCCTCAGTAAAGTTCTTTGAAAGTAGTTGTTTGTTCAACAGTCTTATTGGCCAAAATAAAAAGTAGGCGTCTATGCCGAAACCAGTTTGGCTCAGTGGTAGAGCATCGGCCTGGGGACTGAAAGGTCCCAGGTTCGATTCCAGTCAAGGGCATGTATCTTGGTTGTGGGCACATCCCCAGGAGGGGGTGTGCAGGAGGCAGCTGATCGATGTTTCTCATTGATGTTTCTAGCTCTCTATCTCTATCCTTCTTCCTTCCTCTCTGTAAAAAATCAGTAAAATATATTGTAGGAATAAAAAATAAAAAAAAATAAAAAGGTAGGTGTCTAGTGTTTAATCCCTTCAGTGTTTTGGGGAAGTGTTATTAGTCAAGGAATCTACAATCTCCACCACTTTTAAAGAATTTTTCAGACTTTTTCAAAGTTCCTGGGAGGCAGGCCAAGAGGGACCAGCACTGATGGCCTTGGTTGACTCTAGCAATGTCCTGTGTGACTGACTAGCTCGGACCGTGTCTGGCTGGCGCCCATCCCCGGTCGCTCACAGCCAGGCTGACACCTACATGTCGGCGTCCTCGTCCCTCCGGTTGGTTTCTGCCGAGAACGATGTCCCCAGGTGAAGGTCTTCCTCTTCGCTGATCCTGGTAGGAGAGAGGAAAAGGGAAGCAGGGCCCCGAAGTCATGCTCAGGAAGCTGTGTGCCACTGACAACACAAGCACACAGCAAACAGTGTCAGTCCTCGCTACAGTGGGGGAAATATCTGAGATGTAAATACCATAAATATAAGCAAGCCAACTGGAGATTCCTCTGGGGAGTTGGCAGATACTTTTGTTTTTTGCTTTTGTACTGTTTGAATGCATTATTCTTACAATTGTGTTTTTATGTTTTCTTTCAAAAGAAAAAGGAAACTTCCACGTGGGTTTGAAAGACAATAATGCACCTTTACAAAACGGACCATACCCACATCTCTCTAAGCTAACTTTTGGAGAGTTTTTGTTTTCCTGTTTTTCTGCATAGAGGATACTGGAAGATGTCTCTCTAAAGTAAGGTAACCAGACGGCACGATTTCCAACAATTTGTCCCGCAGCGATTTTAAAAAGCCCTGATTTTCCGCGGGACAAATTGTTAAAAATCGGGACTGTCCCGCCAAAAGTGGGACGTCTGGTTACCTTACCCTAAAGCCGCTGCCGCAGGCCCAGCTCTCCGGGCACACGGACCCGGCGGGGCCTCGGGGCACCCATCCCAGCGCGTCCTGCACTCACTTGTCCTTGCCCCTTTCCTTCAGCTTCTTCATGTCCACCATGCCTCCGGTCTTCATCTGGAAGGGGTCGTCCTGCAGAAAGCGAAGACAGCGGGGAAGAAACCTCTTCGTCACTGGCAGCGAGATTCCTTTTCTAAGGAAATACCATCAGCCACTGAGGAGCACCCCGTCTTCCCACTGCCCAGGGAGGACCCCACAGCTTACCACCAGAGTGGTCTCCTCTTGTACCTTCTCGCCCACCAGCAGGGCCACAGCACTGAGTGGAACCGAAAAGGAAAAGGAGGGCGGGCAGGATGGCACGTTTCAGAGGCGAGAAAGAATGTTTAGGAAGTTTGTAGACTGCACCATTAGTGGCAGGTGGGATGAGGGGTGGGCACCAAAGCCGGCAGGAAAAGCTATGAGACTAAGACAGCGCTCCACAAGCACTGTAGACACTGGGGGGAGGCAAACCTTTCTATAAAGCCACCTGGCATCACCCTGCCTCGGAAACCTCACTTCTAAGATTGTTTGCCTTCAGGGAGCGAAGCTGGAGACAAGTGTAGGAAGACACTACTGCGGCCTGATCTGATGAAAGTTTACAAAATGACCTCCAGGTCCTCAAACGGAATTAGGTTACATTGTGGTACATACTGTGGTGGAGTACTATGTAGCCATTAAAAAGGGCTTTGGAAAGATTATCTGCAAAGTGAGTGAACGCCACAATGTCCTAATGAATTGGAAATAGCATAGAACAAAAGTTCTCACTATTGCTGAAACCGGTTTGGCTCAGCGGATAGAGTATCGGTCTGCGGACTGAAGAGTCCCGGGTTTGATTCCGGTCAAGGGCATGTACATTGGTTGCGGGCACATCCCCGGTAGGGGGTGTGCAGGAGGCAGCTGGTCAATGATTTCTCTCTCATGGATGTTTCTAGCTATCTATCCCTCTCTCTTCTCTCTGTGAAAAATCAATAAAATATATTTTTTAAAAAAAAGTTTTCACTATTCTTTACAAAAGGGAGAAAGAATACACATTGGAAAGGACATTAAATGTTAACACTGGTTACCTCTGGATGGAGGAATTATGGGTGCTGTTTATTTCTTCATTATACTTTTCTAAATTTTCCAAATTCCCAAACATCAATGTGCTTTCACACAATAAAAACAAGAGTGAGTGACTTGTTTCTGTACCTGTGGAGCAAGCCTTAAGACCACATGGCCCAGGCCGTCTCCTGATTAAACGTTTTAACCAACACTGTGCCTCCTTCGGGGTGTACAGTGGGAGGAGTACAGTACAGTGTATCTGTCAAGAAACGGGGCTAAAACCCTAGCCGGTTTGGCTCAGGAGGTTTGAGCATCAGCCTGCAGACTGAAGGGTCCCAGGTTCAATCCCAGTCAGGGTACCCGGTTGCAGGCTCGATCCCCTGACTAGGGCAGGACATGTGCAGAAGGCAACTAATGGATGTGTCTTTCTCACATCAATGTTTCTCTCTGTGTGTCTCTCCCCCTTCCATCCTGTCTAAAATTCATCGGGGGGGGGGGGGGGGGACCCTCGGTGAGGATTAACAAAAAAATAATAATTTAAAAATTAAAAATAAAACCAAATAAGTAAATCAAAGAAAAGGGGCTATGTCTGAGGAGATATTCTGGACAGCGACCCGCCGGGGCATGTCAGTTATCTCCTCCTCCTCCTCCTCCTCCTCCTCCTCCTCCTCCTCCTCCTCTTCCCCCTCCTCCTCCCCCTCCTCCTCTTCCTCCTCTTCTCCCTCCCTCTCCTCCTCCTGCACCCTCTCCTTCCCCTCCAACTCCCCCTCCTCCCTCCCCTCTCCTCTTCCTCCTCCTCCGGGCCCCCCACGGTACCCACCTCACTCCGTTGGGCCTCTTCCTCAAGTTCTGCACCTCTCGGGTCTCCTCCAGTTTCAATCTGAATAAAAGGCAACGTGCAGGTTGAGAGACCCTCCGCGGAACTCAGAGCCAAACAGCAGCTTCGCCGGCACACGGTCCAGAAGGCGAACCTGCGCCTGGACCCACCGGGACTCCGATGCACTGCCCATCCCGGGGACAGTTCCTCCAACTATGCGGCCTCGGGGATGGCGGCCTCGGGGGTGGCGGTCTCAGCCCCAGAACCTTCCATTGGTCCGCAAAGGGGGACACCACCACCGGCTCACGGTGGCCAACGCTGTCAACAAGGCGCCGGGCCGGTGGTGAGACCCCTTGCCAGCTTCTCGTTTCCTGCCCAGTGGAAAGCCCGTTCCCAACGCACCGAACCTCTTCTGAGCCCTGCTCATCTTCCTCCGACTCCGAGTCGGCCCGGCGCCGGCGGAAAGTCTTCCCAGTGACCGGCATGGTCGCGCCGGCCCCGCGGTGCCCCCGCTGGCCCGCTGCGCCGAGGGCCGGCCCGCTTCCGGCGCGCAGCAGTGACGTCAGCGCGCCCGCCCCGCCGGGCCCCGCCCCGAGCTCCTGGTCCCACCCGTCTCTCACGGCCCACATGGCCACGCCCCATCGGTAGCATAGCCACCTCCCGATTGGCCAGCCGAGGGGGAGGAGGCGGGGCGAAGCCGGCCAGGCCCCGCGACCCTGCACAGCTCAGCCTGTTTGACTGACAGGCTGCGGTGGCGCGGTTGCGAAGGCAGGTGAGTTTGTGGCTGCTGTCCGCGGTGTAGGGGGCCGGGCCCCCCGGAGCTGGGGCGACCCCAGCCCTGCTCCCGGCTGGCGGGGGCCCGGCCCTGCCAAATGCCGCGGCCAGGTGATCGGAGCCGGGGAACCCCGCCCGCCATCACCCTCTCCCCTCCTCCGGCGGGCGCCCAGGGGGTCCTCTGGGGTTCGGTCGGCCCACATCGAGCCCCGGGGGCCTCGTTGCTTTTCCAGGACAGGGGACGCCATCTCTTTCCTTCTGCCAGCGCCCGATCCCGCGTTGAAAGCATGCGTGCGGCGTCTCGGGGCGCTGACTTTTAGTTCCCCCGGGTCTGGGCCCTGACATATTTTTTCCTTTAGGGACAAAAGATGACCACTTATCAGTGGGGGTGAATTCACGCCGATTGCCCCGCTGAAAATGCCCCCCGCCATGTCTTCCTGAGGAGACGCACGTCTGATGCTTTGAACCCACAGATTTTTTTTTTTTTTTTTTTTTTTTTGAGGCTTAGGGCTCCTCCTCCGGTGTTTGCCAGCCCTTGACCTTAAGGGGCCTTGTTTTCATCCTTTGTCACTAGGACTGTCGCTCTGCCCTTGGCCCATTCTGCCCCAAGATGCAGTGAGAATTAAGTTCATTTCAAATATGGGCATCGCCAACCGCCCATCGGAAATAACTACATGCATAAGTAGTGGCTTAGAAGGCTTCAGGAACCCCTGAAGTAGTAGTTTTCCCATTGTAGGCTGGTGCTTCCCTTTGAAAGCGTGACCTTTTAGTAAGCGCTCATTACTGGGCTTAGTATTATCTCCTTGTGGCAGGTACTGGGCTAAGTATTATCTCATTGGACTGTCCCAACAGGCCTATGAAGTCGATTCAGTTATTTTTTCATTTTGCACAGAGAATCCAGGGCTCAGGGAGGCAGTGCGTGCCTCGAGTGACCCAGCGGAAGGTGGAGCGGGTCAGCGAGGGCCCACCTCTGCCGCTGTGCACAGGAGTCTTCAGGGAGTGTTCGCTGCCACCGCCGTGGCTGCCACCCATTGGCGGGGGAGGTGCTGATGGAGGCTGCTCTGGGTTCCCTCTTCTGGAAGGCCATTCTCAAGCTGGGCAGCATTTCTGGAATGCCTTCCTTTTTTTCTGGAACAGCCTGCTCTGAGATGGCTGCTCTCTTCCCTGGACCGAGACAGATGCACTCGGACTCCTCCGAACAGCCTTTTGGCTTTGACCAAAAGCTGTTTAGTAGCTGGGTGGCCTCCAGCCAGTGACTTTACCTCTCTGAGCCTCAGTCATTCTTTTTTTTTTTTTTTTAATATATTTTTTTTATTGATTTTATACAGAGAGGAAGGGAGAGAGATAGAGAGTTAGAAACATTGATGAGAGAGAGTCATCGATCAGCTGCCTCCTGCACACCCCCTACTGGGGACATGCCCGCAACCAAGGTACATGCCCTTGACCGGAATCGAACCCGGGACCCTTCAGTCCCCAAGCCGACGCTCTATCCACTGAGCCAAACCAGTCCCGGCCGAGCCTCAGTCATTCTTCCTTTGGTGATGGAGATGGAGGTGGAGGTGGAGATGGAGCTGGGTTTAACTTCCAATATGGCCACCCCCAGGGCGGTTATGAGGATTTACTTAGCGAGGTCTGTTGGTATCAGTGCAGTACTCGGGGCCATTCGGGCAGGGGCAAGGTGTAGGCAGGGGCTGGTGGGTGAGGCCAGGAGGGTCCCTGGAGGAGTGTGGGGATCGGGACTTTCCCAGAGCAGGAGGGTGCTGACTGCTCCCTCTGAGAGCCAGCAGTGTGGTGGCTCAGTGAAGTGGGACTGGGTTAAAGGGAGGAACGTATTGGGGATTCAGGGAAAAGGGGTTGCTTGGAAGTCTGCTGGAGAAGAGAGGGCAGGAGGGAGAAGAAGGGCACTTGTTCCGAGGGGCAAAGGGGTGCAGGTGTGTGGGGTGAGGGACGGCCGATGGGGTGAGGATCAGGTTAGGGGTGTCCGTGTGCTGGTGGGGGGCTTGGCGGCGTCACCTTTCCCATCTTGAAGAACTTGGCTCCTGGCCAGGAGGAGGATGTAGGCAGAACCTCCAGGAAAATGATGAGTAATGGGCACCTGAGGCCTGGCCTCGGCAGCTGGTGCCAGCCCGGATGTACCGCCTGCCAGCCTGCGTCCCTGGGGAGGCACTTCCCCGGCTCTCAGTGCGGCCCGGGGACGGGGGAGGGGGGAGTGCCTGCCCTCGTTCAGGACCAAGCCTCTTGGGAGCCTCGCCCGCCTGGCCCCGAGTGGGTGGGCTCATTGCAGACTGAGCAGCTGCCTCCTTCCCTCCCTCGCTCTCCGTCCGCGAGGACAGGCAGGCAGCTCTGGGGGTCAGTAGGAAGAAGTGCTTGGGGGTCGCTGTGGTGAAGGTGCCACCCCTCTGGCTGGCATTTGGGGCGCCAGCTCTGGGCAGGCACTTCACTGACTCCCAGCAGCACAGCCGACCAGCTGCTCTCAAGAGGGTCTGTTCCCACCCTGGCTGGGGTAGCTGAGTGGATAGAGCATCGGCCTGTGGACTGAAGGGTCCCGGGTTCGATTCCAGACAAGGGCACAGGCCTGGGTTGTGGATTCCATCTCCAGTGGGAGGCGTGCAGGAGGCAGCTGATCAATGATTCTCTTTCATCATGGATGTTTCTTTCTTTCTTTTTAAAAGATATTTTATTGATTTTTTTTTTTTTTTTTTTTTTTTTTACCGAAAGGAAGGGAGAGGGATAGAGATTAGAAACATCGATGAGAGGGAAACATCAATCAGCTGCCTCCTGCACACCCCATACTGGGATGTGTCTACAACCAAGGTACATGCCCTTGACTAGAATCGAACCTGGGACCCTTGAGTACACAGGCTGACGCTCTATCCCCTGAGCCAAACCGGTTAGGGCTCATCATCATCATCAATAATTCATTTAAGAGTAAGTTGCAGGCATCATGACTCTTTACCCCTAAATAGTTTAGGAGCAATCATCTTCAACCGAGGACATTGTAATATGTAACCGGAAAACAGTTCCTATGTCCAGGAACTTGAATGTTCATCTAATGCCATGTCAGTCTGTTAGGGCTGCCATATAGTACCTCAGACAGAGTGACCTACACAACAGAAATGTGTTTTCTCACAGTTCGGGGGTCTGGAAGTTCAAGATCAAGGTGTCAGGAGATTTGGTGCCTGGCCAGCATGGCTCAGTGGTGGAGTGTCGACCTATGAAGCAGGAGGTCACAGTTTGATTCCTGGTTAGGACACAGGCCTGGGTTGCAGGCTCCATCCCCAGTGTGGGGCGTGCAGGAGGCAGCCAATCAATGATTCTTTCTTGTCATTGACGCTTCTATCTCTCTTTCCTCTCCCTTCCTGTCTGAAATCAAACACACACACACACACACATATACACACACATATGTATATATGTTTTTGTTGTTTTTTGTTTGTTTGTTTGTTTGTTTTTTAGGAGAGAGATTTGGTTTCTGTCAGCCGCCTGCTTGCTGTGTTCTCACAGGGTCTTTCCTCGGTGCCTCCTGTGTGTCCAAATTTCCTTCTCGTAGAAGGCTACTGGTTCAGACTGGACTCAGGCCACTCTAGACCTCACTGGAACCTAATTGCCTCTTTAAAGACCCTGTCTCCAGATAAGATCACATTCTGAGGTGCCGGGGTTAGGGCTTCCATATGTAAATTTGGGGGATACAGTTCAGCCCACAGCGAACACTGTCCTCCAGTAGCTAACCCATATTCGCCTTCGTCAGCTGGCCCGCTGATCCCCTTTACCTCGCTAACCCAGGTCCCAGGTCTGTGCCGTCTCTGGTGCCTTTTATCTGGAGCAGCGTCCCCGCTGGCGCTGAGAGGGGAATCAGGCTGTCGGAAGCACACATGCCGGCCGCCTGGGGACAGGACAGCTGTTGGCTTCCCTCCCTGGGGTTCCGCTTCCTGGCTTTGCTTTGATGTCAGGAGCTCCAGGAGGTGAGCGTGGATCTTAGAAAGCAGCCGGGAGAATCAGAACCGCGTGCAGCAGGCGCCTGCTGTGGCACATGTGACATTTCTTGGCGGGGCTGGTGGGGCCCCGAGTGAACAGCTGATGGAAGGTGCCCCTTGGCACGTGACTCACAGTCCGACCAACCCGGTTCCTGATTTCTGAAGCATGATCATAACACAACTTACGGTGCTAAATATTTTTCGAACATTCTTTTGTGTGTGTGTGTTTTTTTAATTGATTTCAGAGAGGAAGAGAGAAAAAGAAACATCAGTGGTGAGAGAATCATGGATCGGCTGCCTCCTGCAGACCCCACCCTGGGGATTGAGCCAGCAACCCGAGCCTGTGCCCTGACCGGGAATCGAACCATGACCTCCTGGTTGCTAGGTCGATGCTCAGTCCCTGAGCCCACGCCGGCCGGGCTTTGTTGAGCATCTTGCTGTGCAGATAAATGCAAACTCGGAGCCACCCTGAACATCCCCGGGATCAGAAGTCATTGCCCTTCCTGTGTATCTCACCGCCCTCCCGGTAACCCTATGGCTGTCTTTGTCCACCTCACGGACGAGGACACGAGGATTGAGTGATTCCTCTAGAGACACACAGCTTGCAAGCGACGAGAGCAAGGACCGGAAGCAGGGCTGCCGTCTCTGTCTCCGTCCTCTCTGTCTCCCCCTTTGAAGTGCCCGCATCTGGAAGGCTGTGGTGACATGTGCCTGTAGCCTGTGGTTCAGGCATGTCAAACTCACAGCCCTCAGGCCACATGCCTCATTTATTTGGCCCGTGTTAGCCTTTGAGTTTGACATGCTTGCTGTGGTTGCTCAAGACTTGGGGGTCAGGAGTTCTGAGCAGCACAGGGTCACATTGGGAGGTTCAAAGGATGATGGGAGGGTCCCAGAGGCATGTGCAGAGGGACTGAGCCACCCGCCCGTCCTGGCAGCCTCAGGGAGCAGCAGTGGGAGAGGCCCTGGCCCTCTCCTGCAGACCCTGGAAGGTGTCTCCGCTCAGAAGCACAAAGGCCATGCCCAGCAGTGACTGGTGAAGGGCTCCTGGCCCAGGGGTCGGAGCTGTGTGACTTTAAAACAACAGAGTCAAAACTGGCTTGGCTCTGTGGACAGAGCGTCAGTCTGCGGACTGAAAGGTCCCAGGTTCGATTCCGGTCAGGGGCATGTACATTGGTTGCAGGCACATCCCAAATAGGGGGTGTGCCTAGAAGCAGCTGGTCGATGTTTTTCTCTCATCGATGTTTCTAGCTCTCCATCCCTCTCTCTTCCTCTCTGTAACAAATCAATAATATATATATTATTATTGCCCTGCCAGCAGCCTCGCGTCCAGCCCACCGGGCGGCTGTGGACAGAGAATGTGGAGACCGGCTGCTGCTTGGGGGTGTCGCTGTCCGCAGAGGTAGGCCCCTGCTACCCAACTCAGGTGAGGCCCTCAGGCACAGGACAAGAGGGAGGTGGATTTTTCTCTTTAGGTGAAATAGTGGAATTGTGTTTCAGTTTTTCTCTTTTGAAGTCTTCTTTTAGAAAAACAAACACAAAGGAAATGGTGTGATATCTGAGGTTCGAAGGGAGCTGGCCAGGAATGCCCTGCACGCTAGTTCTGTCTTTTCCGCCCGGTTTGCCTCTCCAGTGAGTCAGAGAGAATGAGAGTTGGGGCCTAGGAGTCCGATGGATTTGGGTTCTAGTCCTCCCACCGGTGAGGCCGGACAAGGAGGAGCCGCTTCCAGCCTGTGAGACTGGCTGACCGCCGCTGCCTCCAAGATTGCTGGGACGGTTTGGGGGTAAAAAAAAAGGTGTTTTTTTTTTGTTTTTAATTGACTTCAGAGAGAGAAAGAAAGAAGGACAGAGATAGAAACATCCATGATGAGAGAGAATTATTGATCGGCTGCCTCCTGCACCGCCCCAACTGGGGATCGAGTCTGCAACCTGGGCATGCGCCCTGGCCTTGACTGGGAATCGAACCATGACCTCCCGGTTCATAGGTCGATACTCAAGCACTGAGCAACCCCAGCCGGGCGTTGTTTTTGAGGAAATGATGCGTGGGAAGCTCTTAGGCTGGTTCCTGGCATCTGATCCGCACCAGCAGCTCCTGTTGAGGCTGGGAGTCCGACGCCGGGCCGACCATGTGGGAGGGGCATGGGGTCCCCCTCGCTCCAGCAGACACAGGGCCCCTGCCTTTCACTGAGCCGGCACCCAGCCCCTCCGTGCACCACATCTCGGTGTGTCTGTGGCTCAGCACAGCCAGGGGGGTGGCATCGGCACAACCCGCAGGGCTGACGGGGCCCAGCTCCTCGCACAGCCATTGTGAGTGAGGTGCTCACAGCAAGGGGAGTGAGGCTCGGAGAAGTTACCTAGCTCCCCTCGCTCGCCGGCTGATGGTGTGGCCGAGCTGGGACTCAAGGCCAAGGTCCTGCCCTTACCCTCTGGCCTCCCCGCCTCCCTCTGGCGGTGGCTGCCGTCGCACCTGGGACTCTGTTCCTGCAGGTGAGACTGGGCCAGCATGGGGGACGCCAGGGACCTGTGCCCTCACCTGGACTCCTTAGGGGAGGTGACCAAAGACGACTTGCTGCTCAAATCGAAGGTGAGGGCTCCGACGTGGTGGGGCCGAGGCCAGCTCAGGGCCTCTGGTTTCCGGGGACGGGCGTGCCTGAGGCAGCACAGAGCTGCCTTCCCACGGGCCTCGCCTGTCTTCTGTCTGCGAGGCAGCGCTGACGGCCGTTGCCCCTCTCCCGTCCACCCGGTCATTGGCTGCCGAGCCCATGTCACCTGGCTGGCACCCCATCAGCTGGGAGTGAGCCCACGATCATGGGGGTGGGGTGTGGGTGGGGTGGGAGTGGGGGTGGGGGTGGGGGCGGAAAAGCCTGCAGCATCCGCTGAGCGCTCAGCCCCAACCCACCATCTGTACTCAGACCGGAAGGGGAGACGCTGGTGGACAGGGGGAAGGCTCCAGCACCCGGACCACCAGCCACCTGGTGTTTTCTGGGGCCACAGGCACTGGTCTCCTCATTTGCCCCAGACTCTGCAAAATCACAGGCGTGCACAGCCCCGACACCCCTTTGCATGGGGCCCGGAGCCAGGGGGAGCCAGGGAGAGCAGAGGAAGTGATGGGGCTGCAGAGTCAGGGGTCAGAGGTTCAAATTATATCACTGAGCGCGTCTGCAGACACGTCAGAAAACACAATTCTGATGCCGAGGTGTCAGTGGGAACCGGATCTGGACTAGGGGGCTGCTGAGGGCCCTCCCAGGCCAACAGGGCCTTCGAGCCGAGGCCGGTGTGGCTCCCCTAACCGGGGCGGGCGGGCTCTGGGGGGGTGAGGGGAGGGTGGTCTCCCCCGCCCGTCACCTCTGCCGCTTCTCCTTCCTCCCGCGCAGGGAACCTGCCAGTCGTGCGGAGTGTCTGGGCCGAACCTGTGGGCCTGTCTCCAGGTGAGGGCTCCTGGCGGGTGCCGAGCGTGACCATCCGTCCCCCGTGGGTCCTTGGGCAGGACACAGCGCGTGGATGTCTCAGTGGCGGGTCCCACGCCAAGAGGGCCCCAGAGTCAGCGAGTCCCTGGCTGGCTACCTTGGCAGACATTACAAAACGACAAGAGGGGTCCTAGCTGGTGTTGCTCAGTGGATAGAGCATCAGCCTGTGGACCAAAGGATCCTGGGTTCAATTCCGTTCAAGGGCACATACCTCGGCTGCAGGCTCCTCCCTGGCCTGGACTCTGGTGGGGACACACTGGGCCCCACTGCCTCCGCCATCCAGCATCCCCCTCCCCCCCCGAATGTGGGTCCCAGTCACCTGCCCATCAGGAGTGTGATGGACAGGGACACGTGGAGGCAGAGAGGGTCTGTGCCGGGACTAGCTGTGCCCTGCCCGCCTCGCTCAGAGACAGGCCATTCGGGATCTCCAGGGTGTCCCCGTGCTCCTGCAGGCAGGGCTTCCCTGTTGGGTGGAGGTGGGGGTACAGCTGGTGCACCTTCTTAGCCAGCCCCACCCACTCTCCTCCCCTCTCCCAGGTGTCCTGCCCCTACGTTGGCTGCGGAGAATCCTTCGCCGACCACAGCACCATCCATGCGCAGGTGAGTGGCGGCCGGGGCAGGGGCTTGGGATCCGATGGCCCAGAGCTCAGAGCCAGCCCAGCCCTCCCAGCTCCCAGCTCCCCAGCCTCTGGGCCTCCGAGGCTGCGTCTATAAAACAGGAGCGATCGTAGCAAAGACGCAGGAGCTCTGCTCCTGCTGGCTCGGGCAGCCCCCATTCCTGCTGGAGGGGGAGCAGACCCGGCTCCCGGCCGCTGTCCCCCCGCCTGGGCTGAGAGCTGAGAGCGAGGCGGCCCCAGGCGGGCCTGGCTCCAGAGCCTCCCGGGCCTGACTTTGGATCTTGCCCTCCAGATACAAAGGCACAACCTGACCGTGAACCTGACCACGTTCCGGGTGTGGTGTTACGCCTGCGAGAAGGAGGTGTTCCCGGAGCAGCGGCTGGCGGCCCCCCTGCCAGCCGCCCCGTCCCGCCCCTTCGAGCAGGTGAGGGTGCTGGGGAGGGTGCGCGGGGTCCCCGTGGTTGGTCCCCGTGTCGGGGACGTGGCCGTGGGAGCCGGCTGGAGGTCTTTCTCCGGGGGCTCCTGGGCTCCCACTCACCCCTCGGTCCCCCACGCCTCTCTCTCTCTCCTGGGTCTGGAACTCAGGACTCCCCGCTGCCCTCCCGCCCTCTGAGAGCCGTGCCCATTGCCGTGGCCGACGAAGGGGAGTCCGAGTCAGAGGACGATGACCTGAAACCTCGCGGTAACGGCCCCGAACGGGGTGCCTGAGCCCGGGCCGGGCCCCGCCTGGGCAGGGCGCGCTGCATGCACCGGGCACGGGCATGGCGTGCTGGCTCCCTTGGCGCAGCCATCAGCCACGTCCCGGAGGCCCGGCCTCCTGCCCGTCTCCCCCTGTGGCCCCGGGAAGGCGGCCCCTCCGCATGGCAATGGCTGGACTGAGGGTGGGAGGGTGGGCGGGCGGGCGGGTGGGGGCACGGTCGTCCTGTTGGATGCACTGAGGTCATTCCAGCCGGCGAGCAGGAACCACACTAACTCCCTTGGCGGACACGGGGGCGGGGGGCTGGGTGGAGGAGGGGACACCGTGTGACTGTGCGCTCGCCCCTCCCCACGCCGGGCCAGGCCTCACGGGCATGAAGAACCTGGGGAACTCCTGCTACATGAACGCCGCGCTGCAGGCCCTGTCCAACTGGTAGGCGTCCCCGCCCGCGAGGGGCCGGACTGAGCCCGCACCTGGGAGGAGCAGCCAGCCCCCAAGCTGTGCTGCGTTTCCCACGGGCCCCTGTTGTATGGATATACACCAACCCCTAAAAACAGACAGACACCCCTAAAAACACGCAGCACTGAGACCCAGGGACCTGCCGCCGAATGCAGGGCCTGGGGGAGTTGATGTGGGGGAGGGTGTGGGCGCCTCCTGCCGCGGTGCTGGGAACGACTGGACGGTCCGGGCGTCCGGGAGGATGTACCCGTCTCTGGATGGGCTGCCCTCACGGGGAGCGTTCAGGCCGATGATCGCGGTCTGCAGATCCGTGCTTCCTAGTTTTTCTCGGGGAATGTCTGCTTCCTGTGGGTGCAGTCAGTTTTAAAAGCGTAAGGGAAGGGGGTTGGGGGAGGTGTCTTCAGGCTCAGGAAGTTTCCAGGGAGCGGGTGACGGAGGGGCAGGTGCCCTGCTCTCACTCACACCACAGCCCGAACGGGGGGGCCCCCCTCCCCTGGGGGAGGAAAGGGCTGCATGAGCCTCGGAGCGGAGCGCCACCTGCCAGGGGCACAGACAACGGCACGCTATTCCCGTCAGCACATCTGAAACTCGGTGCAGGCAAGGGGGCTTCTCCGAGGCCTCTGCTGACCTCCCGAGACGGCCCCTCCCCAGGGCCGCTGCCTGTAATGCCCGCATCTCAGGAGGGTGCCAGGCACCCAGGCCAGGCTCCCCCATGACCTCGGTTTCACGGAAACCCCTTTTAAAGACCCAAATGCAGTCACCTCTGAGGCGCAGGGTCAGGGCTCCAGCACAGGAATCGGGGACCCATCCAGCCCACACCCGGTGGGCTCCTTCCCGCCGTCTGCCCCGGAGGCCCTTGCCCCTCCTCCCATCCTCCTCACCGATGCCCACCCCCTGCCTCTCTCCCTGCCCCGGCCACCCCGTCCAGCCCCCCGCTGACCCAGTTCTTCCTGGAGTGCGGGGGCCTGGTGCGCACCGACAAGAAGCCCGCCCTGTGCAAGAGCTACCAGAAGCTGGTGTCCGAGATCTGGCACCGGAAGCGGTGAGTGGCGCCAGGCTGGGCAGCAGATGGTCGTGGCCAGCTATTTTACACACGGGGCGGGGGGGGGGGGGGCACGGAGGATCAGAGAGGCTGAAATAGCTTGCTCAAGGTCACAGCTACGAGAGATGGAGCCAGAACTTGAACCTGGTGTCCATCCAGCTGGCGGCCACTTTTCACGTGTGTGCGCCGAGGCCCGGGCCCCCACCGTGACGGCCCAGGTCTCAGCCGCGACAGCACGTGGGAAGGAACCTCGCAGGTGCAGCGGGCGCTTTGTCTCCGCGAAGTGAACTTAGAGGCCAGACGCTTGGATTAGACCCGTTTCTCCAGAAAAAGTCAAAACCAGAAATAATTTAAAATGAGAGCAGAGAGATATATATCCAGTGTAGAAGCAGATGGCAAAGCAATATGAGGCAAAAGTAAAAAAATACATATAAAACGGAAAAAAACCCACAAAGCAGTGTGATGCAATATGATTCCAATGTTGTAAGAAGCCACGCTTGTTTAAGTATTTACATGGAATATAATTTTGTATAAGTATCTATTTTCATGGGAAAATCTAGAAACCTTAAGGTAGCTGTCCCTGGGTGGTCATGTTTCCTTGTTAGGCGTTCCTGAAGTTTCAGCTTTTTCTGTTTGTGTTACTAATTTTCTGGTTACAGTCCACACTCAGTGTTACATTGGCGTCAGGTGGACACGTAGTGCGCAGGCCCTCATGTGACTTAGCGTGATCCCCTCCACCCCCAGGCCCGCCTGGCACCACAGCCACCGAGCACAGTACCGACTGCATCCCCGCGCTGTCCCCGTCTCAGTAACGCACACGTGTTACTTCTGAAATGAGAGAAGCCACGGTGGATACTTGGGAGTGAAACAGCTTTAAAGTGGGCTTGTCATGGACTGGCAGGGTCGGCGCCTCCAGGCGGGAGCCCTTTGCCTGGTGTGGCTATGACTTGATATTTTCCTTCCTTTAAAAAAAAAAAAAAAAAAAAATATATATATATATATATATATATATATTATTGTACAGAGAGGAAGGGAGAGGGATAGAGTTAGAAACATCCATGAGAGGGAAACATTGACCAGTAGCCTCCTGCACACCCCCTACTGGGAATGTGCCCGCAACCAAGGTACATGCCCTTGACCGGATTCGAACCTGGGACCCTTCAGTCCGAAGGCTGATGCTCTATTCACTGAGCCAAACCGGTCAGGGCCTTCTTCTTTAAAATAAATAAATAAATTAATTAATTAATAATAAATGTATTGATTTCAGAGAGGAAGGGAGAGAGAGAGAAAGAATCATTGATTGGCTGCCTCCTACATGTCCCTCACTGGGGGCCTGTGCCCTGACCAGGAATCGAACCGTGACCTCCTGGTACATAGGTCGATGCTCAATCACTGAGCCACACCCCCCGGGCGACCTTTTCCTTCTTGACCGTGATGAGTGAGCCTGCAGGGGCTCTGGTGGGTCCCCGCCCCCAGAGGCATGGTAAACCCCCCACTGCTGGCCACCTGTCACCCCGCGGGGGATGGGGACCCCGGGCAGGCCTCCGGCACTAACGGTCTGGCTTTCCCACAGCCTGAGCTACGTGGTCCCCACCAGCCTGTCCCACGGGATCAAGTTGGTCAACCCCATGTTCCGTGGCTACGCCCAGCAGGTAGGCATCTGAGCGGCCCGGGACACCGGGCCATCGTCCCCCAGGCCTGGCCTGGACACCAGGACCCACGTGGAGAGCGCCGGGGGCCGGCCCTCTTGCCGCCGAGCCCTCCGGCAGCCTGCTGCCGTCCTCCCCACGTGGCCTCCGGGGAGACCAAGGCTCGGGCCACACCCCTGCCAGGCACCGTGGCTGGGACGTGTGGAGGGGGCTTGGGCGCAGGCAGCCCAGCTGCAGCGTCCGCCTCAGCCCTGCGTTCAAGCGGCCTGTGGCTGCTCCTTTCCCCAGCCTCCGGCAGGGTCCGTGCTTATTGAAGTAAACCGTTGATTGCAGGGTTTGTAAATCTAAAGAACACCTGTGAGGCTATAGCTTCTAGTGCAGAAAAGCACGGGGCCAAGATGAAGCAGAATGGCCCTAGCTGGTTTGGCTCAGTGGATAGAGCATTGGCCTCGGAAGGGTCCCGGGTTCGATTCGGGGTTTGATGTTTCCTTTTTAAAAAAAAAAATTTTTTTTTAAATTGATTTCAGAGAGGAAGGGAGAGAGGGAGAGAGAGGTAAGAACGTCAATGATGAGAGAGAATCATTGATTGGCTGCCTCCTGCAGACCCCCCACTGGGGCCGGGACGCGGTGCCCATGGGGGCCTCGTTGTCGGGCTCTGTGCAGAGGCCCGTGCTGGGCCAGGGCAGCCCGCACCTCCTAAAGGGATGGAGGTGTTTGTTAAGTGGTCACCGTAGTTACAGTCCTCTCTTAAAGGGGCCCTGCCTCGCCCCATGGAGGCTCAGGGAGGTTCTGCAGCCCAGGTCACACAGCACCTGGTGGAGGGGTGGGGTCAGGCCTGGCTGAGCTGTCCCACCCCCCGGGCACCCTGCTGTGCAGGCGCCGCTCCGAGCCTCTGTGTGCCCAGCAGCGGGGTTAGGACGGTGCTGCAGACGCCACGTGAGGGGCCATCGGCGCCCTGCCCGGGTCCAGCAGGCCGGGCAGGGCCCTGGGAGCCCCGGTGACGGGCCTGGTTGCAGGACACCCAGGAGTTCCTGCGCTGCCTGATGGACCAGCTGCACGAGGAGCTCAAGGAGCCGGTGGCGGCGGCGGCCGCGGCCCTGACGGAGGCCCGGGACTCGGACCTGAGTGACTCGGACGAGAAGAGGGAGGGCGACCGCAGCCCGTCGGAGGACGAGTTCCTGTCCTGCGACTCCAGCAGCGACAGGGGCGAGGGCGGCGGCCAGGGCCGCGGCGAGGGCGGCTCGGCGGAGGCGGAGCTGCTGATGGGCGAGGAGGCGGGCCGCGCCATCTCCGAGAAGGAGCGCCTGAAGGACCGCAAGCTCTCCTGGGGCCAGCAGCGCACCAGCTCCGAGCAGGTGGACGAGGACGCGGACGTGGACACCGCCCTGGACCCCCGGCCCCCGGCGGCCCAGCCCCCATCGCCGCGGTCCGCCAGCCCCTGCCGGACACCAGGTACCAGCCGGCCGCTCAGGGAACCACACCGTTTGTCCAGCACCTACTGTGCGCCCAGCACCTACTGTGCGCCAAGCACCCACTGTGCGCCAATCACCCATTGTGAGCCAAGCACCTACTGTGCGCCCAGCACCCAGTGTGCCAAGCACCCACTGTGCGCCCAGCACCTACTGTGTGCCAAGCACCCACTGTGCGCCCAGCACCTACTGTGCGCCAAGCACCCACTGTGCTCCAAGCACCCACTGTGCGCCAATCACCCATTGTGAGCCAAGCACCTACTGTGCGCCCAGCACCTACTGTGCGCCCAGCACCCACTGTGTGCCAAGCACCCACTGTGCGCCCAGCACCTACTGTGCGCCAAGCACCCACTGTGTGCCAAGCACCCACTGTGCTCCAAGCACCTACTGTGCGCCAAGCACCCACTGCGCCACACGGCCACGCTCTGTTCCCACCTCCCTGAGGGGTTTTCTACCACAAGACCCAACTTCTGGGTGAGAAACGGGCTAAATAATAGGTCCAGACTCATTTAGCTGATAGAGCTGGCGTGGAATTCAGAGCGTGCCCTGGAACCCTGCCGTTGGGTGGGCACAGACGGGGGGCCCGCGGTGGTTCAGGCCTCAGTCCCGGTAGGAGGTGCTGGCTGCCCTGGCCCAGCACGGGCCCCTCTCTGCCCACAGAGCCTGACAACGAGGCCCACATGCGCAGCGCGTCCCGGCCCTGCAGCCCCGCCCACCACCACGAGGGCCACGCCAAGCTGGCCAGCAGCCCTCCCCGCGCCAGCCCCGTGAGGATGGGGCCGGCCTACGTGCTCAAGAAAGGTGCTGAGGGCTGGCGGGCAGCAGGCAGCGGGCCGCGGGGCTGGGAGGGGAGTCCTGCTGTGGCCGCCGGGTTCGAGCCATCCTGGCTGGGCTGGGCTGGGCTGCGACTCTGAACCCCCCCCTCCCCTCCCCACCCCGGGGACCTGAGTCAGGGAGCCCCATTGCACAGACCATGACCAGCGCCAGGAGTGGAGCGCAGACCTAGTCTCATGACGCAGGGATTTGCCCCCACGTCCTGGCCGAGCGCCTGAGCCCGGTCCTGGCCCCAGGCAGGCCCGCGGGCTGGACCCAGCTCCCTCTGCCCGCAGCCCCGGGGCCGAGCTCGGGCAGCCGGCGGCGGAAGGAGCAGCGCTACCGCAGCGTCATCTCCGACATCTTCGACGGCTCCATCCTCAGCCTGGTGCAGTGCCTCACCTGTGACCGGGTGAGCGCCCCTGGGGCCGGGGCCGGGTGGGCGAGCAGCCCTCGGCTCCCGCCTGCACTCGGGTGCAGACTCTGCGTGGTCTGAGCGGGCGGGATTCTGGAGGGTGGGGACCAGGCTGACCTTGGACTCCGCAGGTGTCCACGACGGTGGAGACGTTCCAGGACCTGTCGCTGCCCATCCCGGGCAAGGAGGACCTGGCCAAGCTGCACTCGGCCATCTACCAGAGCGCGCCCGCCAAGCCCGGCTCCTGCGGGGACGGCTACGCCGCCCAGGGCTGGCTCGCCTTCATCATGGAGTACATCCGACGGTGAGCCCACGCCCGCCTCCCTGGTCCCGGCCCCGGAGGCCAGCAAAGCCCCGGTGTGTGTAGGGGTGAGGGCGGAGTCCAGGGAGCTGGAGGTGAAGGACGTGTGGGGTCAGCTAAGGCGGGGTGTCCCTGTCCACGCTGGATGGCCCTGGGGTTGGAAGGCAGGCAGGGACAGGGTGAGCAAGGACGGCCAGCGGGGTCGGGGCCCACAGATGAGGGGAGCGAGGCTCAGGGCGCGAGGAGGCCGCCCTCCCGGGACCCTGTGCCGCTGGCTGGCGTCCCCGGTGCCTGGCTCCACCCTGGGCCACGATGCCCCGGCCCGAAGGCCCCCAACGCTTACCCCTGCTCAGGCCCTGGCAGCGCCGCCACCCCTTGTCTGTCCCCGCAGGTTTGTGGTGTCCTGTACCCCCAGCTGGTTTTGGGGGCCGGTCATCACCCTGGAGGACTGCCTCGCTGCCTTCTTCGCTGCGGACGAGCTGAAGGGTCAGTGGGCTGGCTGGGCGGGTGGCCGGGACTCACCTGCAGCCTCCCGCCGTGCCCGCCGGGCTGGCCCGCCCCCTGGTGGCTCCTACGGGTCCCCGTTTGCTCCCCTCACCAATCTGCTGGTGAAGGCGATGCGCGCTCTCATCCTGCATTTCCCCGACTGTTGCTGAGCGTGAGACGCTCTGCGCAGGCATCTCGGCGTTAGCATTTCCGTTTCTGTCCTTTTCCCGTTTTCCTACTGAGCTGGGGGTGGGCGCCTGTCTCAGGCCTGGCTCTGGGGGAAGCTCTCAGCTCTCCGTGGGCCTGTGTGAGCTGAGGGCTGGCACAGGTGGCCTTGCTGCGCTGAGGCTGTTCCCTCTGCGCCCAGCTGGCTGGAATCTGTTCTCATGAAAAGATGGGCACGGCCCTCCGTCAGGTGGCGCTCTGTGCCCACCGAGGAGCCCGGGTCTCTCCTCCGTCCTGTGGGGGGAGGGCATCGCCTGGGCACCTGCCCCCCATTCCCCTGCTGACCGCCGCCTCCTCCTCCGTGCAGGAGACAACATGTACAGCTGCGAGCGGTGCAAAAAGTGAGTGTCTCCGGGCTCCCCCGCCCTCTCCGCCTCCGTGCTCGGTGCCCGCCCCCCCCACCCCCGTTCCCCAGGAGGTGCCACCCTGACCTCGCAGACTTGACGGGTGGGGGTCAGGGTGCTTGTCCGGGCCCTCACCCGCCCCTCAGGGCCATCACCGCCTGTCGCCTGCTCTCCTCCCTCCCAGGCTGCGCAACGGGGTCAAGTACTGCAAGGTGCTGCGGCTGCCCGAGGTGAGAGGAGCAGCCGCCACTGCCCGCCGTGCCCGCCGGCCTCCCCGCCCGCCATGCCCGCCCTCCCCGCCCGCCATGCCCACCCACCCCGCCCTCCCCGCCCGCCATGCCCGCCCTCCCTGCCCACCATGCCCGCCCGCCATGCCCGCCCTCCCCGCCCTCCCCGCCCTCCATACCCACCCTCCCCGCCCTCCCCGCCCGCCATGCCCGCCCTCCCCGCCCGCCATGCCCGCCGGCCTCCCCGCTGACTCAGAGGCTGTGTGTGAAGGAGGCCGTGGGGCTGGGCCCATGGCGGAGGGGCCTCCGGGTCTGTCACTCGGCACCCTCTGAGCGGCCTCCCTCCTTCCTCACCACGAGGAGGTGTCGGGTGCCCAGGCACCGCCATGTGGGCAGCTGTGCAGGGCGGGGACCTGCCGGCGGGGGTCCGGGAAGGCCTGTCTGCGTGAGCCCCAGGATGCGGGGTGTCGCCTCGGGGAGGGGGTGGGGCAGGGACAGGAGGGGCCTCCGTCGTCGGGCCCCGCGGCCGGGGCCCCGGAGCTCAGCTGCTGGCTCCGTGTCCAGTGGAGGGGGGACCCGAGCGGGCGGCAGCGGCAGGGCAGGGGCCAGGGCGACGGGCCCTCTCAGCCCGGAACGACCCGCTCCCCCCAGATCCTGTGCGTCCACCTGAAGCGCTTCCGGCACGAGGTCATGTACTCGTTCAAGATCAGCAGCCACGTCTCCTTCCCCCTCGAGGGGCTCGACCTGCGCCCCTTCCTGGCCAAGGAGTGCGCGTCCCAGATCACCACCTACGACCTGCTCTCCGTCATCTGCCACCACGGCACGGCCGGCAGTGAGTGCCCCCCCCCGGCACGGCCGGCAGTGAGTGCCCCCCCCCCGGCACGGCCGGCAGTGAGTGCCCCCCCCCCGGCACGGCCCCCCGGCACGGCTGGCAGTGAGTGCCCCCCCCCCGGCACAGCCCCCCGGCACGGCCCCCCGGCACGGCCGGCAGTGAGTGCCCCCCCCCCGGCACAGCCCCCCGGCACGGCCCCCCGGCACGGCCTGCAGTGAGTGCCCCCCCCCGGCATGGCCCCCCGGCACGGCCGGCAGTGAGTGCCCCCCCCGGCACAGCCGGCAGTGAGTGCTCCCCCGGCACGGCCGGCAGTGAGTGCCCCCCCCCCGGCACGGCCCCCCGGCACGGCCGGCAGTGAGTGCCCCCCCCCCGGCACGGCCCCCCGGCACGGCCGGCAGTGAGTGCCCCCCCCCCCCGGCACAGCCGGCAGTGAGTGCTCCCCCCCCCCCCGTACAGCCGGCAGTGAGTGCCCCCCCCCCGTACAGCCGGCAGTGAGTGCTCCCCCCCCCCCCCCCGCACAGCCGGCAGTGAGTGCTCCCCCCCCCCCCCCGCACGGCCGGCAGTGAGTGCCCCCCCCCCCCGGCACGGCCCCCCGGCACGGCCGGCAGTGAGTGCCCCCCCCCCGCACAGCCGGCAGTGAGTGCTCCCCCGGCACGGCCAGCAGTGAGTGCCCCCCCCCGGCACGGCCGGCAGTGAGTGCCCCCCCCCCCCCCCGGCACAACCGGCAGTGAGTGCCCCCCCCGGCACGGCCGGCAGTGAGTGTTTCCCCCCCCGCCCCCCCCCCCCGGCACAGCCGGCAGTGAGTGCTCTCCCCCCCCCCCCCCCCCGCACGGCCGGCAGTGAGTGTTTCCCCCCCGCCCCCCCCCCCCCCCCCCCCGGCACAGCCGGCAGTGAGTGCTCCCCCCCCCCCCCCCCCCCCCCGCACGGCCGGCAGTGAGTGCCCCTCTAGCCCGCCCGCCCGTTCCCAGGGCACCCTCTGCCCGGTGCCCGCCCGTTCCCAGGGCATCTCCTGCCGGTGCCGGCCCGCCCGTTCCCAGGGCACCCTCTGCCCGGTGCCGGCCCGCCCGTTCCCAGGGCACCCTCTGCCCGGTGCCCGCCCGCCCGGTCCCAGGGCTGCTGTAACCCGCCGCCTCTCCGCAGGCGGCCACTACATCGCCTACTGCCAGAACGTCATCAACGGGCAGTGGTACGAGTTCGACGACCAGTACGTCACCGAGGTCCACGAGACGGTGGTGCAGAGCGCCGAGGCCTACGTGCTGTTCTACAGGTGTGAGCCGGGCGTGAGCCGGGGCTGCGAGTGTGGGTGTGTGTGTGTGTGTGTGTGTCTGAGTGTGACCCGGGGCTGCGGGGGTGTGTGTGTGTGTGCCCGGGTGTGAGCCGGGGCTGCGGTGTGTGTGTGTGTGAGTGTGTGTGTGTGTGTGTGTGTGTCCGGGTGTGAGCCGGGGCTGCGGTGTGTGTGTGTGTGAGTGTGTGTGTGTGTGTGTGTGTGTCCGGGTGTGAGCCGAGGCTGTGGTGTGTGTGGGGGTGTGTGTGTGTGTGTGTGTGTGCCCGGGTGTGAGCCGGGGCTGCGGGTGTGTGTGTGTGTGTGTGTGTGTGTGTGTTCGGGTGTGAGCCGGGGCTGCGGGTGTGTGTGTGTGTGCGCCCGGGCGTGAGCCGGGGCTGCGGGGTGTGTGTGTGTGTGTGTGTGTGCCCGGGCGTGAGCCGGGGCTGCGGGGTGTGTGTGTGTGTGTGTGTGTGTGTGTCCGGGTGTGAGCCGGGGCTGCGGGGTGTGTGTGTGTGTGTGTGTGTGTCCGAGTGTGAGCCGGGGCTGCGGGGGTGTGTGTGTGTGTGTGTGTGTGTCCGGGTGTGAGCCGGGGCTGCGGTGTGTGTGTGTGTGTGTGTGTGTGTGTATGTGCCCGGGTGTGAGCCGGGGCTGCGGTGTGTGTGTGTGTGCGCCCGGGCGTGAGCCGGGGCTGCGGGGTGTGTGTGTGTGTGTGTGTGTGTGTGTGTGTGCCCGGGCGTGAGCCGGGGCTGCGGGGTGTGTGTGTGTGTGTGTGTGTGTGTGCCCGGGCGTGAGCCGGGGCTGCGGGGTGTGTGTGTGTGTGTGTGTGTGTGTGTCCGGGTGTGAGCCGGGGCTGCGGGGTGTGTGTGTGTGTGTGTGTGTCCGGGTGTGCGCCGGGGCTGCGGGGGTGTGTGTGTGTGTGCCCGGGTGTGAGCCGGGGCTGCGGGTGTGTGTGTGTGTGTGTGTGTGTGTGTCCGGGTGTGCGCCGGGGCTGCGGGTGTGTGTGTGTGTGTGTGTGTGTGTGTCTGAGTGTGAGCTGGGGCTGCGGGGGTGTGTGTGTGTGTGTGTGTGTCCGGGTGTGAGCCGGGGCTGCGGAGTGTGTGTGTGTGTGTGTGTGTGTGTCCGGGTGTGCGCCGGGGCTGCGGGTGTGTGTGTGTGTGTGTGTGTGTGTGTGTCTGAGTGTGAGCCGGGGCTGCGGGTGTGTGTGTGTGTGTGTGTGTGTGTGTGTCCGGGTGTGAGCCGGGGCTGCGGAGTGTGTGTGTGTGTGTGTGTGTGTGTGTGTCCGGGTGTGCGCCGGGGCTGCGGGTGTGTGTGTGTGTGTGTGTGTGTGTGTCCGGGTGTGCGCCGGGGCTGCGGGTGTGTGCGCCGGAGCTGCGGGTGTGTGCCCGGGCTGCAGGCATTGGCGGGCCTGGACCTGGTGCCCTGCTCCCCGGCTCACTGGGCACATGGCGGTGGTGAAGCCTGAAAGGCTTTAAGGCCCAGGTGAGGATTCAGTTCTGAGGAGAGCCCCCTGGCTGCGGGGTGTGGGAGCCCAGGCCCTGGGTTTGGGTCGTCTGTGTGGTCCTGGGAGGCGCCGGCGGCCAGGACTCGGCAGGGGCGGTGGGCGGCCGATGGGCCAGGACTTGGCAGGGGCGGTGCGCGGCCGATGGGCCAGGACTTGGCAGGGGTGTGGGAGCCCATGTGCCGTCAGGTCGCCGAGGGGCTTGGGCGGTCAGTCAGGAGGCCAGATCGGGATGGGGTTAGTGGGGAGGCCGATGGGGAGGCGGTCAGTGGGGAGGCCGATGGGGAGGCGGTTAGTGGGGAGGCGGATGGGGAGGCGGTCAGTGGGGAGGCCGATGGGGAGGCGGTCAGTGGGGAGGCCGATGGGGAGGCGGTTAGTGGGGAGGCGGATGGGGAGGCGGTCAGTGGGGAGGCGGTCAGTGGGGAGGCGGTCAGTGGGGAGGCAGTCAGTGGGGAGGCGGTCAGTGGGGAGGCCGGATGGGGAGGCGGTCAGTGGGGAGGCCGGATGGGGAGGCGGTCAGTGGGGAGGCCGGATGGGGAGGCGGTCAGTCGGGAGGCCGGATGGGGAGGCGGTCAGTGGAGAGGCCGATGGGGAGGCGGTCAGTGGGGAGGCCGGATGGGGAGGCGGTCAGTGGGGAGGCCGGATGGGGAGGCGGTTAGTGGGGAGGCGGATGGGGAGGCAGTCAGTGGGGAGGCGGTCAGTGGGGAGCTGGATGGGGAGGCGGTTAATCGGGAGCTGGATGGGGAGGCGGTCAGTGGGGAGGCCGGATGGGGAGGCAGTCAGTGGGGAGGCGGTCAGTGGGGAGGCGGATGGGGAGGCGGTCAGTGGGGAGGCGGTCAGTGGGGAGGCGGATGGGGAGGCGGTCAGTCGGGAGGCGGATGGGGAGGCGGATGGGGAGGCGGTTAGTGGGGAGGCGGTCAGTCGGGAGGCGGATGGGGAGGCGGTTAGTGGGGAGGCTGGATGGGGAGGTGGTCAGTCGGGAGCGATGGGGAGGCGGTCAGTGGGGAGGCGGATGGGGAGGCGGTCAGTGGGGAGGCGGATGGGGAGGCGGTCAGTGGGGGGCCGGATGGGGAGGCCAGATGGGGAGGCGGTCAGTGGGGAGGCGGATGGGGAGGCGGTCAGTGGGGAGGCCGGATGGGGAGGCGGTCAGTGGGGAGGCGGTCAGTGGGGAGGCGGATGGGGAGGCGGTCAGTGGGGAGGCGGATGGGGAGGCGGTCAGTGGGGGGCCGGATGGGGAGGCGGTCAGTGGGGAGGCCGGATGGGGAGGCGGTCAGTGGGGAGGCGGTCAGTGGGGAGGCGGTCAGTCGGGAGGCCGGATGGGGAGGCGGTCAGTGGGGAGGCGGATGGGGAGGCGGTCAGTGGGGAGGCGGATGGGGAGGCGGTCAGTGGGGGGCCGGATGGGGAGGCCGGATGGGGAGGCCAGATGGGGAGGCGGTCAGTGGGGAGGCCGATGGGGAGGCGGTCAGTGGGGAGGCGGATGGGGAGGCGGTCAGTGGGGGGGCCGATGGGGAGGCGGTCAGTCGGGAGGCCGGATGGGGAGGCGGTCAGTGGGGGGGCGGTCAGTGGGGAGGCGGTCAGTGGGGGGCCGGATGGGGAGGCGGTCAGTGGGGAGGCCGGATGGGGAGGCGGTCAGTCGGGAGGCCGATGGGGAGGCGGTCAGTGGGGAGGCCGGATGGGGAGGCGGTCAGTGGGGAGGCCGGATGGGGAGGCGGTCAGTGGGGGGCCGGATGGGGAGGCGGTCAGTGGGGGGCCGGATGGGGAGGCGGTCAGTCGGGAGGCCGATGGGGAGGCGGTCAGTGGGGGGCCGGATCCGGAGGGGCTGCTCTGGGGCAGGCGTGGCTGTGCCGCGGAGGGATGCGCAGCGGCTCTGTCCCCCAGGAAGAGCAGCGAGGAGGCCGTGCGGGAGCGGCAGCAGGTGGTGTCGCTGGCCGCCATGCGGGAGCCCAGCCTGCTGCGCTTCTACGTGTCGCGGGAGTGGCTCAACAAGTTCAACACCTTCGCCGAGCCGGGGCCCATCAGCAACCACACCTTCCTCTGCTCCCACGGAGGTGAGGGCCCTCTCGGCGGCCGGGGTGCGGGGGGCGGGCCGAGCCCCCACCTCTCCTCCCCCCGCAGGCATCCCGCCCGACAAGTACCACTACATTGACGACCTGGTGGCGAGCCTGCCGCAGGGCGTGTGGGAGCACCTGTACGGCAGGTAGGGCGAGGCGCCCCTTCCGGCAGCGCCCTGTGGGCCCGCGGGCAGCGGGCAGGGCAGCTGAGTCTGCACCGAGGAAGGCCAGTGCAGTCAGTCAGTGCAGGCCCTGCCCTGCGGGCCCCATGCTCCTGCCCGCAGCACCTGCAGCCCCTCAGGGCCCGGCCGGGCAGGCTCCGCCCACAGCCCTGCCCAGGGGCCAGGAGGGGAAGCGGGCATTGGCGTAGCCTTGGTGACGCACCGGCCTGGGGACTGGGCACGCTGACACATGGCGTGAACCCAGGGAGCGGGGCAGGGGCTCCCGGGACAAGGAGGGCAGTACCCACTCTGCAGGCCACGGCGCGTCCTGCCGGCCCCGGACGCCTCCCTCAGGGTGCGTGTCCCCCCCCCCCCCGCAGGTTTGGGGGCGGGCCCGCGGTGAACCACCTGTACGTGTGCTCCGTCTGCCAGGTGGAGATCGAGGCGCTGGCCAAGCGCAGGCGGGCCGAGATCGACACCTTCATTAGGGTGCGTGGCGGGTGGGGCGGGGTGGGGGGCCTGGGGGAGGTTGTCGCCGGCCTCCAGCCTCCGCTGGGTCTCGTGGAGGCTGTGCTCTGTGGGGATCATAGTGGCCGAGGCCTGGCCCACATCACGGGCCTTACAGGCGGGGGGGGCCGGGGCGGGGGGTAAGGTCAGGCCCATCTGCTGGTCACTGTGAGCAGCTGCTGAAGGAGCCAGGTGCTGCTGTTTGGGGCTGGATGGTTCTCTCTCTCTCTTTTAATAGATGTCTATTGGTTTCAGAGAGGAAAAGAGAGAGAGAAGCATCAATGATGAGAATCATTGATCAATTGCCTCCTACATGCCCCCCACTGGGGATGGAGCCCACAACCCGGGCCTGTGCCCTGACCGGGAATTAAACCGTGACCGCCTGTTCACAGGCTGACGTCAACCCCAGGCCTGTCGGCCGGGTTGGGCGGGCCTTTGTGTGGGGCTGTCGGAGAGGGGGCTCGGGGACCCCCCTGTTGTGCAGCGGTGGAGGGCAGGACCCCTCCCCGCGGCCATGGAGACGGACAGGGCCAGGCCGGTTCAGGGGCGAGCCCGTTCTGCTGGGTGGGCAACAGCCTCGGCCACGTGACCTCACGGCGGCCGCGGGGACGGCCCTTTTCCTCGGGCCTCTGGGGGCTCAGCCTCCTCCCGGAGACGCAGTGTGGGGTGACCCCCTCCCCTCCCCCCGCCGCCAGCTGAACAAGGCGTTCCAGGCCGAGGAGTCGCCCGGCGTCATCTTCTGCATCAGCATGCAGTGGTTCCGGGAGTGGGAAGCCTTCGTCAAGGGCAAGGACAACGGTGAGTCCGGGGCTGCGGGCCTGCAGGAGCGGGCGTGTCCCGGGACGGAGGCGGCCCCAGGGGCTGCGCTGGCCCTTTAGGTACCCCCCGCCCTCCCCTCCCCGAGGGAGCAGAGAAGACAGGTGCTCCTGCAGCTGTCTGCCCCCCCGGCTGCCGGCCCGGGCGCTGCTCTGCCCCTTCCTCCCGCCTCTCCTCTCCGGCTGATGCCTGAGGAGGCTGCCGCCCCCTCCTGCCCCCTATTTTGGGGATTCTGTTCCCCTGAGTCAGGGCCAGTGGGAGATTACAGTGCCCTTCGCTTACCGTGACTCCGCACAGCGCTGGGTGCGGGGTGAGTGCGAGGCCCACGGAGGCCCTGTGCCCCATCCTCACCTGAGGACGCACACTGGACCCCGGCCAGGGCGGCTTCTGGGGCTCCGGGGGGGGGGGGAAGACGGGGCTCTCCCGCTGGGCAGCGGCGCTGAGCTCCGCCGTGTCTCCCCAGAGCCCCCCGGCCCCATCGACAACAGCAGGATCGCGCAGGTGAAGGGCAGCGGGCACATCCAGCTGAAGCCGGGTGAGCCTCAGCCCCGCTGCCCCTGCCCACGGCCGCCAGCCCCGTCCTTCCCGCAGCCCCAGCCCTGCGCCTGCCTCAGGCCAGGCGGCCACCCCGGCCTCCATGTGGGTCCTCAGCCCCCTCCCCCCACCTCCATGGCCTCTGCTGGCCTCCCTGCCCGCCCTTCCTGTGGGCCCCACCCCGGAGCCGGGGCCACAGCCAGGCGGGCGCCCGGTCCTCCGGGAGCGGATGTTGTGCTGAAACCCCTTGGCACAGAAGCCGCCCCCCCCCCCCCCCCCGGAGCCCCGCTGCCGGGACGGTGGCTCCCTGGCCGGTGCAGGGGCTCGGGGTGCGCGGGCAGCACCCGCGCTGACAGGCGCCTCCGGCCCGCAGGCGCCGACTACGGGCAGATCTCCGAGGAGACCTGGGCCTACCTGCACAGCCTGTACGGCGGCGGCCCCGAGATCGCCATCCGGCAGAGCGTGGCCCAGCTGCCCGACCCGGACAGCCTGCACGGCGAGCACAAGATCGAGGCCGAGACCCGGGCCCTGTGACCTCCGGGCTCTCTGTGAGCCCCCCGCCTTCTCCAGACCCCTGGTGTCCCTGAGCCTGGGCCTGAGCGCCCTCCCAGGAGGGGCCGAGCCCTCCGCGGCCAGTGGAGGAGGGCCAGTGGCGGGAGAGGCAGGTTGCTGGTCCCAGTGGGACGCTGGGATGGGAGGCACCCCCCGGGCTGGTCCCACCGCGGTCAGCGGGCCTCCGTCCCGGCCCTGCCCACACAGTCCTGTCGCCGGGTCCCCGCCCCCTCGGCCAGCGGCCGAGGCCCAGCTTTAGCTCCGAGCTCTCAGCAGGGGCTTTGGGACAGAGGGTCCGAGAGGCCACGGCTTCGTGGGCGTTTCCCACGGGGGCCTGGTCCAGGCCCGAGGCCTGCCTCCCCCGCACCTCCCCCCGTCAGAGACTCCGAATGCCGGGCTGCTCTGGTTGGACCTCACTCAGGAGGGGTGTGTCCGAGGCTACTGGCCCCCAGGAACCGGGGGGAAACACGCTCTCGCTGCTGTCATTTGCTGCTCATGCAGCTCCCAGGGCGGCCAGGAGAGAGAAGCTCCGCCCGCACACCGCCCAGCACCCAGCGCCCAGCGCCCAGCGCCCAGCGCCCAGCGCCCAGCGCAGGCCCGGCGGAGGTGTGGCCCGGAGCGCCCTCTGGATGCTGAGTGAGGCTGCTGCGCCCCCACCTCCAAGCACAGCTTCCCTGGAGGAAGCAGCTGGCCGGCTGCTCACCTGTCAGGCCCAAGTGAGGTGGGGGGAGGGCGGGTCCCGGGACCAGAGCCCCAGACACCGTGGACTTGTCTCCGAAGCCGCAGATGTGGCGGGGCCCCCGCGGGCAGAGCCCCGCAGCTCAGGCCTCGGCCTCGTTCTCCCGGGACCCGGGGCCTCCCCGGCGATGGCAGAGCAGCCCGTGGGGGTTCTGGGCGTTTGCTCCTGCACCACGGGGACCCCCGCCCCAGGGCCACGGCGTGTGTCGCCCTGTGGGTGACACGGAGCTTCCGAGGTGCGGGCTGGGAGCTGGCCCACGTGTGTGCCGTGTAGTCTGTGTGCGAGATGCACAATAAAGCACCCGTGTTCCCGCGGCCTCGCTGTGTCTCCGTCGGGAGGGAGCCGGAAGCCCCCGTGTGCGGGGGAGGGCGGGAAGCAGGAGGGTCTTGCCTGGCTCTGGACGGGAAGCAGGAGGGGCTGCAGGAGCGAGGAGGCAGCGCCCGAACCAGCCCGGCTCCAAGGGCTGGGCCCCGCCTGGCGCCACACCACAGACTCGGTGCCACCCCTCCCGGCGGTACCCTCCCGGCCCCGGAGCGCCCCCTGCCGGGCGTCTCCTGGCGCCACTCCACAGACTCTAGAATTTTTGGGAACATATAGGTAAAATTGTATACTTAACTAGTGCTCTAAGCTTAGTATACAATTTTATCTATATATTCCCCAAAATTCTAGTTTAGCGCTTCTTAGTTAGGATTCAGGAATCTGTAGTTTAACAGCTCCACCAGGTGATCCTCATCATGACAGAAGTTTGGGAAACACTGAGCTACAGGAAGGAGAGAAAGAAAGAACTAGGCACAGTGTCTCCTGTTTTCACTTAAAATGCCTGGCTCTCCCGTGGCTCAGCGCCGGAGCCCCAACACAGCACAGGAGCCTGCGGCTGCTCCGCGCACAGACCGGAGACAGGAAGTGTGGGCTGTGCCTCCATCCTGTGCCCTGGCGGCTGCTCGGTACCTGCCTTCCCACCTGGCTGCGCTTCTGCTCACAAACCTGCTGAGAAATACACCTGCCAGGCGCAGCCCCCTCAGGCCTTCCTGCTTCCTCCTCCCCACTCCTCGGCTTGAGTCCCGCAGACACGCTCTCCTGCAGGCCCCTGGCTCCAGCCCTGAGGGCCGTGGGGTGTGGAGACAGGATGGGCGGACGGGAGGGAGCCGGGAGCTTTGCAGTGCGCTCAGGAAAGCAGCCCAGGACGGTGAGGGTTTGACACCTGCCAGGTGAGGGTGTTTGGAGCCGGAACTGGGCCCAGGTTCTGCAGGACGGGGCGGGGCAGGGCAGGGCTGGGCCTGTGCGGGGCAAGGACAGGCACGGGGTGGGGGGGGGGTATCTGCTGCAGGACCCAATCTCCCCATCTCTGCTTGTGAGGCCACCTGAGGAGGAGCGGGGAGGGCAAGGGGGAGGACAAGAGGAGCAGGAGGGGAGGAGGAAATGCGAGTTTCCTCCCCAGGCGTCTGGCCTGGGCTCCGAGGACAGAGGCACGGGATCTCCTCAGGTCCTGCTTCTCAGACCTTTGTGCCGGTGCTGTCCCCAGCGGACGGGGGCCGTGGAGGGAGGTCACTCACAGCACACAGACAGGAGAACCACAGGAGCCGCACCAGACTCGAACCCCAGGCCGAGGGCTGCGCAGCACGACTCACCGCCTCCCCTCAGAAAAGAGGGGAGAGGCCCCCCTAGGCAGGGACCGGATATGTGGGCCCTGAGCTCCCTGCCCTTCACCCCACCCCACAGCCTGCACTCAGGCTGCCCCTCCTTCTCTGCAGTAGCAGCTCCCCTGGTTCCCTTCCCGTCTCCTGCCACCTTCAGCTGCCCGTGGATTTCACAATCCCGAGACCCCTTTGCTCTAACACAAAGTGGGGGGCCCCTTTGAACCCCTGCTCTGCCCACTTCCATGTCCTTCTTGTCACCCAGGGGGGGACCCAGTTCTCTCCTGGCACGGAATCCTCTCCCACTAGAGGGCGCCCCTGCCCCCGTGTGCCCAGCGGCAGGGCCGGGCGTGGCGGGTGGGGAAGGAGGGGCCGGGTGCCGACTGCGGGAACCTCTGTGCCAACCAGAAACCAATCGTCCGCTCTGGCTCCGCGTGGCCCCCGCCCGTGTCCAACCCCGGCCGGCGGAGTGAGTCACCAGAAGCAGGTGCCACCCCTAAAGGCTGGAACCAAGTCGGGCATGAAGATGAGCAGGTGCAGCCCCTAGGAGGTCACGGTTCCATCCCCGGTCCGGGCACACGCCCGAGGGCGGCTCCAACCCGGGTGCGGGGCATGCGTGCAGGACGCGGCGGATCCATCATTCGCTCTCAGCATTGAGGTTTCCCCCTCCTCCTCCCCCTCCCTTCCTCTCTGAAACCAATTCTTTATAAAAAAAAAAAAAAAAAAAAAGATGGGCGCAGACCAGTGCGGAATCAGCGACAAGGACGCCATGGCGGCGCCAGGAGCAGCTCAGTCAGAGCCACTGTTTGCCGGCTGCTGCCGAGCCGGCCGCCCGCCCTCCGGCTCCCACCGCAGCTCCCAAGGCCGTGGCGTCCTCACCCGCAACCCGGAACCCAGGCCCAGAGAGCGGGAGGCCAGGCAGCCCGGCTCCCAGCCCTGCAGCCCCTGTGGGACGGGACACTCACCTGACAGGACTGCTCGCCACGGAGGACAAAGCCCCCATGGACGCAGGAACATTCTCCCGAGACCTTTGCGGACCAGCAGACAGCAGGCCTCCGGCGGCACCGGCACCTGGCCCCTTGCCTGGCTCTCACCGGAACCGCGCCGGGCCAGCCGCTGGAGGCTCTGGCCCGAGGGCAGCAGCTGCCCCCCTCCCGCCCCCCCCGTGGGAGGAGGCCAAGGCCCCTCAGCAATGAGCCCAACTTGACCTATCAAACGGTTCTGCTCACACCGGCTGCTCCAAGGCCCTTGGGAACCAGAGGTCGGTCCCTCCCAAGGGCCGGGGTGAGAGTTCAATGTCGGCCATGGAAGCAGGGCTCCAGCAGCCTCAGGGAAACCAGGGGCCCAGCCAAGCCGCGCAGAGGGGGGCTGGAGCGCTCGTGCACAGACACTGATAAATGCCCCAGCCCCCACAACAGGGCCCTGAACCCCTAGAGGGTGGCAGCTGAATTTGCAAAGAACCATTTCCTGGCCATCACAGGCTTCCCCCAAACCCCGGGACCGGGCCCACCTGAATTCCATCTCCCATCCGGTCAGACAGCCCACAGGCCCCGCCCCAGCAGAGCGGGAGGACTGACTGGTCGGGCCCAGGGAATGGGGAGAGCGGACCAGCCCCAGTCCCAGCCCCAGGGACTCCACCTGCTTCAGTGGCGCCCCCTCCTGCAGCAAAGCACTCGGACTCCACGCCAGTGAGACGTTTATTTGACACGAGATTAACATGGAGGTGCAGGTCTGAGGGGGCCTTCCCGTGGCCTCTATTCGGGTTAATCCATCTCCAGAGCCTTGGCAATGGCCGTGGCCACGCCGCGATGCCTCCACGGTCAGGGCCAGGGTCAGGGCTGCACACACCAGCCGTGGCCAGGTGCGCCCCGTCGGGTGACTTTGTATAAAGACGGTTTTGATGACAGAAGCACAGGAGGCGGGACCATTTAGTCGCACCCACGTTTCTGGAAAAACACTTAGCATAGACCATGTCCCGTTCTCTGTTCGGTAAACTTCGTGTGATGGCAGCTGCTGCCAAAGGCCGCGAGGCCTGCGTGCTCCACCGGCGAGACCAGCCGGCACCGGTCGCCGCTGGCAGCCTAAGAGCGCCAGGCCCAGACCAAACCCTCTGTGGGCCGGCCCCTCGTGGTTCCGTCCTGCGAGGGAAAAGGGCACGTCCCTCTGTTCCAGGCTCTTTAAAGATGTGTCCTGCTTACATGATATTCTAACGGTGGTGGAGAGACGGGCAGCGGTCCCAGGGAGGCGGGCAGCACGAGAGGCGGAGGCTCCGTGGTAACAGACGGATCCACAGGGGAGTAAATGGCAGCGCTGGGCTGGCGGCTAATCGCTTCCTTCCTGGATCGCCGCTGGGCAGAGCGGAGCGCCGAGGGGCAGGCACCGGGGTCTCCACTCTGTCGGGCGCAGGGGTGCGGAAGGGAGAGAGAGGGGCGGGGACACGAGGACACAAGCATGTTCTGTACGGAGCGGCACAGACGTGAACGGCACAGACGTGAACAGGACAGGCTGATGCAGCCTCTGCCCGCCCCCCCAGCTGCGGCAGTGCCCGACCTGACCAAACAGAAAACGCAGTGCGCATGCACGAGGCTCTGGGGCAGACTCGGAGCCGTCACATCCGTGAGCACGACGGGCGGCCTGCGGGTCCTGGAGACCAGGTCACTGTCCCAGAGCAGCCCTGGACACTGCCGGCTAACTAGGCGCCTGTGGGTGTGCAGGGATGTGGGGGGAGGGGTCTAACTCCTCTCGCCTCTGGCACCCGGCCTGCAGCGTCAGCCGCCTGCTGAGCCCGCCCCTCCCGGGACTGGCTTCTGCTGCACTGGCTGCTCCCTCTGCGGGGTCTGGGCCCAGCCCCACTTCTGGGAAGAAAGAGCGAGAGGGCCCAGTGGCCACTCACTCACCCTCCACCTGATGCCACCCACCTCCTTCCCCTGCTCCCCGGCACCCGCTCACTCAGGGTCTAGTCATCAGGGTTGATGAGCTAACCAGAGGGTGGTGTGCGGTCACCCCGGGTTTGCCGAGAGGAGCCATCTTCCTACTGGCCACGGGCCCACGGGACCTGCCCCATCCCTACCCTCTGGCTCCTAGGAGACGGCCTTGTCTTGGACTTATCCACGATGAGAACTGAGGATGCAGGAGGTGACACCGAGCTACCCAGCACCAAACCGGAGGGGGCGACGCCATCCCTGGCTCCACCGAGCTCCCGGCCTGCGGCCTCCCGGCTGCGCTGCCCCCAAACCGAAGCCCCGCCGCCCGGGGCGTGAGTGGCGCCGAAGGAGAGGCAGCCGGGAGGCAAACGCAGGGAGTTCCGTGTCTGCCAGGACAGCGCAAAGGACCTTTGGCGGCGGAAGCACTGAGATCCTCGAGGCGGAGATCTTGGAACCCAAGAGAGAGGGAGCTCTCACGCTGCAGCGAGTCCATGCAGAGTGTGGGGGCGCTCCTCGGTCACCACGTGCCACAGCTGCCGTTCTTGGGGAGACGCCCCTCCTCCCCCCGCCACGTGGACACGGGCAGGACAGCAGGGTGGGGCCGAGGACTGGAATTCGACTTCCAGTGTGGACCCACTGAAGGCAGGGCCCCAACCAAAACTGTGTGCGTGCATGTGCACACACGGGTATACATGTATGTGTGTGCGTATACGCCCTCGTGCCCGCCACTGAGGCTCTCGGGCCGTGAGGTGTTGCAAGGGCCGACGCTCAGCCTGAGGCCAGGTCCCGCGTCAGGAAGGCCCACGCACGCGCGATGTGCTGGGGCCCAGGTGAGTCTCCTGTAAGGTGAACTCGGGAGGGACCACGTCACGGGCGCCGGGCCCAGTCCGCCTGGCGGGTCCGGCCCTCTGTCCAGGTTCTGTGGGCCACCCGGGGAGACCGGCAGCAGGTTTTCACAGAAGGCACAGTGTGAACCGTGGACGGGCCGGAGCCGCCGGGAAGACAGGCCGGGGCCGGAGTGGGGTGGGGGGGAGCCGTGCCCCGCTGCTTTCCGTGGTCCTGCTGGGGTGGGGACGGGATGGAGGCCACGGGAGCGGCCGAGGGAGCATGCTGAGAAAGGAAAGCAGAGGCAGGCAGCTGCAGCAGGGCCGCCCTTTGGCCCGAAGATGCGACCACTCCGCGGCCCAGCCAGGCTCACAGCCTGGTCGTGGAGACAAGCAGCCCGAGGGTTCCTCCTGGGACGGCTCCGGCTCCGGCTCCTCAGCTGCCTTAGGAATCTACAACACAAACAGAAAGAAAGCTCTGTTAGAGGGGGCCGCGGCCAGGGGCAGGCACACTGCACTGCACGGGGGGGGGGGGGGAGTAGAGGGGGAAAGAGGGCACCTTAGAGCCAGATTGGCTACCACCCGACACCACAGACAAGAACTTTCACCGTTTGGTCTCCACGCTTCCTCCCGAGGACCCCCGCCCCCTCCCCCCAGCTCATCTTCCCCACGGGCTCCGTTTGGAGGGAAGGAAGGTGCCCGGCCCCCCAGAACAAAGCCAGGAGGCAGCCGGTTCTCAGACCGCGGGCCCGGCCTTTACCGTCTCGGTGCTCATGGTAAACAGTGAAAGTTCTTCCTCTCCCGGGAAGCAGAGAGACCAGACAGACAGCCCTCCCGAGGGGCACGCAGGGCTGGAGGGGCCCCGGGGAACAGGCGTTAACTGCAGGCGAGGCACAGTCACAGTCTCAGAAAGGGCCGAGCCACCGACCGCACGGAGGAGAACCGTGTATTAGAGGGGCACGGGGTACAGCTGAGGAGCCAGACACAGCCCGCCCTTTCAGGCGAGGACAGAGAGAGGCGGGCCGGGGGGCCGCGTTCAAACAGCACTTACTCAGAGCCCCGTGTCTACAAGCCGGAGCGGAGCCGCCGGCAGGGCCCTAGCTACCGACGGTCCTCCCTCCGCTGGCTCCCGGTTCCAAAAACAAAAAGGTCATTAGGCAGCGGAGTCACCAGCAAACAGACAGATCAAAAGAGCAGAACGTTAACCCGGAGCGGTCCAGTGGTCCTCGGGGCTCTTAGGTGGCGTCTGCAGTGCATACCACACACACACACACACACACACACACACACACACACGTGTTGGGGAGGCTGGTGGACGCACTTCACAGAGACACTTTCCAAAACAAAACCGAGAGGGCGGACGGTCCCAGCCCAGGGCCGGCCGGAGCCACTGGAGCCTAAATATTTAAGCAATCTTTAAAGCGTCACGTCAGACGCCACACATGCACAGGGCGAGAGTGCAGACAGAGGGCGGCCCGGGGGATAAAGGGGGTGGGGGTGGGGGTGGCTCCGGGGGTGAGGGCGGTGGTGGGCGGAGGGTGGCCCGTGGGTGGGTGGGGGGATGTGGAGCTGGCGGCCCTGGGGGTGGGGAGTGGGTGTGTGTGTGTGTGGAGGGCGGAGGGCCCCGGGGGATGAGGGGGGTGGTGGGCGGAGGGCGGGCAGCCCGGGAGGCGGCGGGATCTGTGAACTGGAGGGAATAATGGCTTCTGCACACACGTGGGGAGCAGAAGTGCTGAGGGAAGCGGAGAAGGCGTGGCCAGACAAGCCGAGTCTCGGCCAAACAGATAACCAGGGAGGAGAACAAAGTAAACTCCGGGCGGAAGGGACGTCCCGGATCCTGTGGGAGCCGTTTCACGAAACGACAAAGTATTGCTGCGGAGTCCGTGTTCCATCCCTTCCTGGGCCGTGGGTACAGAGGGCACAACCTAATAATGGAATTTATGCCCCCGGAACGCCCCCGCCCCTCCGCGCCCCCCCCCCCCCCCCCCCCCCCCCCCCCCCGCCGAAAACCACCCGAGCTGCTTTCGGAACCGAATCTGCATCCCGCTAAAGGGGAGACTAACCCAACGAAAAGCAAAGCGGAGGAAAAACCTCCCGATGCCGTCCTTTCAGGGCCGCTTTCAAAAGGCTAATGTGTTCCTGCCCCATTTCAGGCTTTTTCAATGTGTGTTTGCTTTCTCCGGAAATGAGGTTACAGGCCTCAGCTGTGCCCTCCTGCTGCTCCTGGGCCACAGCCTGGCCTAAGGGCGGCTGGTTCTCTCGCTGCCGTGCTCAGCAGGGAGGGGAACTGAGTCCCTTGAGGGCTGGGCTCAGGCTGCGTGCCCTGGCGGGTATAACATTCTGAAGAAATTTGAATCACAAAATTCTGTTTAAAAACATCAGGCTGACCCATCGGTTTTCTGCCTTCCAGACTGTATGCCAATTGTGTCCCATGTGACCCCTGGAAGACAAGCTCCCGGGACTGTGTGTTTAAACACAAAAGGCATTCTTAAAGGTCAGGCAACCCATCCCCCTCCCGCCCAACCTCCCGCCGGGTCCTGGACTCCCACCCGGGGCGTGCTGTGGCTTTAAAAACCAGCTCCCAGCCGAAACCGGTTTGGCTCAGTGGATAGAGCGTCGGTCTGCGGACTGGGTGGGGGGGGGGGGGTTACGGGGGTTCCCAGGTTCGATTCTGGTCAAGAGCATGTACCTTGGTTGCGGGCACATCCCCGGTAGGGGGTGTGCAAGAGGCAGCTGGTCGAAGTTTCTCTCTCATCGACGTTTCTAGCTCTCTCTCTCTCTCTCTCTCCCTTCCTCTCTGTAAAAAACCAATAAAATATATATTTTTTTAAAAATCAGCTCCCAGTGACCTGAGCTTTTTAAAGGAGCCCTCGGTGTGGAGGCAAGGAACTCATCTTCTGAAGGCGGGAAGGACACGAATCCCTCTCAAAGCCACAGGGCCGGACTGAGGACCGGGACCGACACCTTCAGGGGAGCACTAGCCGCCATCCCCCGCGATGGCAGGTGGTCCTGGGAATAGGCGCGGACGCTGGGCGTGGCACCGCCTGCCTCTCCACCCGTCCTGCCAACTCCAAAACGCCAATCCCCGTGTGACCCAGTTTCCCCGGGAGATGGTGAGACGTGGTGTTTGATTCGGGCTACAGTTAACCAGATGAGGCCCGCTGGCCACCCTAAAACCATCCTTCACTCAATCCACATGTAGGGCCTTAATGATGCCAATGATTTCTTTCCACCCCGCTTTGAAAAGTGAGGTGCTGGGGTCTGTGTCTGTGTGGACACAGCCCCACCTGGCGAGGGTCAGCCGACCACAGCTCCGCTCGCCACATACCCTCCGACAGGACGGAGCAAATGCTGCTTTTACAGGCGCTCCCCTAGAGGGCACTCCAAAGCTGTCCGGCTCTGTCAACTCCCCGGGGGACAGTGACAGTCGTGTATAAAAATCAACAGGGGCCCTGGCCGGTGTTGCTGGCTGGTTAGCGTCGGCCCACACACCCAAGGGTCTCAGGTTCGAGTCCTGGTCAAGGGCATGTACCTCCCCATCCCTGATTGGGGTGTGTGCAACCAGTCCATTTCCCTCTCTCTCTCTCTCCCTCCCTCACTTTCATCTTCTCTGGAAAGCAATGGAAAAAAATATCCTCAGGTGAGGATTAACAAACAAACAAAACAACTGGGTAAATTGACCAAACTTTTCCAGATTTCAATGCTTGTTGGAGCATGATAGGATAGTCTTGATGATCTAACAGTGACCTTAACCAGGCTTAGGTAAGATTACACGCTTTTGATACCAATAAATGAATCTTCTATTTGCGTTTTTATTCAAGGAGGAGCTTTTATGTGAATGGCTGTGCAATGTAACCAACGAGCACAGTTCAGTTTGCTAAGTTACAGCATGTGGTGGTTCCACTGGTGGCAGACACTGGATACAAATGAGGGCTGAACCCACCGCGCTCAGGGGTGGGGCGGGGGGGTGTGTGGCCTTGGAAACGGGGAAATAGTGATTAGAAGCTAGAAAGGCAACTTTTTGTTGTTTATCTACGGACACTGCGTGTTTCCCCGACTTCCAGTGACACAGCTGTAAACTGGCAGTTGGCAGCTTTCCACATAAAATGCCATCGGCAAGCGAAACTCGGTACCAGTCAAAGCCACCGAGGAATCGGAGCGGCCGCGCCCCGTGGGCGGGCGGGCGGGCTCTGCGGGCGGCTCTCGGGCCAGGCCTTGAAGAACCGCCTGGAACAGTTTTTAAACAGTTTTTTTTTTTTTTTTAGAAAGCCGTATTAAATATAAGTCTTAGCACCTTTGGCATTTTTGTCCAAATAGACTTCGACGTAGGAGGTGGGCACGTAGCCCTCCTCGTCTTCGTTCCTCCGGATGCGGGTCCACCCGTCCCCCTTGTCTTCCTCAATGACGTACAGCGTCTCTCCTTCCGTGACTGAGATGGTCCCTTCATTCTGGCCTGGAACAAGAGCAGAACACGTGAGGCTTCTGGGCACCGGCGCCTGGCCAGGAAACGGGGGCAGGGACAGCAGAGGTGGGTCCGCAGATGCCCGGCCCTGCCCCTTCCAGCGAGGTGAGGAGTGCCACTTCCTGCCCGGCCGGGCCGCAGGGACTTCCCCAGGGTTAACCTTCCGTCCTCTCCGCTCCTCCAAATGTGTCCTTTACTCCCCCCCGACTCCCACGGGCACTGCCTGCCTCTGGTCTTACATTCCTCTCTGACCACCTGACCCCTGGGCTCAGCCCCACGGCCCCATGCCCGATGCCCTGCAGCCCAGAGTTCTCTAAACGCCCGTGAGGAAGTGCCGCGGTCCCCCGTGTGTTCCTCCCTCCCGACTGTGCGCTTCCCGGATGTGGGAGCTGCCTCCCAGGCCTGGTCCCCGTGCCTCCCTCCATCTGTGCCCCGCCTGCTAGACACAACTCTGCTTTGCCCTCCGGGGTGGACGCCACACCCGCGCTGCCTGCATCCCACCCCCTGGGGAGTGTTCTCAGGACGGGAGCTCTGTGAACGTAGGACGGAGGCAGGAAATAACCACGACTCCTACTCTGCTGCAATCTCGGTAAGCCCCACGCAGGCTGCTCAGTTACAGGGACCGAAAGGCAAAACACACAGCCAGCGGCCCGACGGTGACCACGCTCCCCGCAGGACAGAGGGCAGAGAGGACCGTCTGGGGCTGAGCAGAGAGGCGGCCACGGGCGGGGCCGGTGCGGACAGCTCAGGGGCGGGTTCGGACAGCTCAGGGGCCGGTGCGGACAGCTCAGGGGCCGCGGGGAGCTCAGCTGCGGGGCGTTACCGTCGAAGGTGTAGAGCGCCTTGCACGTCCCGATGGCGGGCAGCGGCTCCTCGTCGTCAAACTCATCATCGAAGTCCGTGGCCAGCACCTTCACCTCGCTCTCCTGGCTCTGCTCCTCCGTGTAACTGCCATCCGGGCTGCTCAAGAAAGAAAGCACACGGCAACTATAGCGACTGAGCCAGAGGGTGCCGCCGCCGCCGCCGCCCCCCCCCCCCCCCCCCCCCCCGGTGCCCACCCGCCCGCGGTGCGGCTCGGAGCTGGCAACTGAGACCATCTCAACGGGTCCCCGCGGGCCTGGAGGCTGCGTGGGAGCACACAGGCCCCCTCAGAGGCGCTGGGATCTGTGTGAGGCTCCGTCCAGGATGGAGGGCCCGGGGCGGGGCGGCGCGGATACTGTACCTCTCCCGGGCCTGCACGCAGTTGTTGACGGCCGGGGCGGACTGGGCGTCGTACAGGCCGCTCTGCCTGCGCTGCTCACCGCGGGGCGGGAGCCTGCCCTCCACCTCCGCCAGCCAGGCCTGGAACGAGAGCCACGGGAGACCGGCTGAGCCCCCGAACCTGGAAGCCCGGCTCGGCGGCTCGGGGCAGAGGCTGATGGAGAGGGGCAGGGGCGGGGCCCCCACATAACGGATCGAGGCTCCGTCCCTTCCCGAGGAGCGGGGTGGGAAGAGCATATGGAGGCAGCTGCCCCCGCGGGGCTGGGGGCCTGGACCTGTCCAACCCCGGGCTGCGAACAGCTGTGCGCCTCGGGATAAGTCACTTCTAGTTCCTCCTGTTCCCAAACTCTGTGACCCTGAGGTCACGCTGGGAAGCATGGGGAACTGACTCAGTTTGAAAGCCACACTTCCCCTTCCCGCGTTTTTCGGGAGGGTCCTGAGCCAAGAGAAGTGCGTCCACAGCACATCCGCCTGGACAGTCACCTTCGGCGACATTTGAACTAGTTCCCGTTCAAGAGGCAACAGCTTTTTCTGTCTTTTTTTTTTTTTTTTTTAAGATATCTTTCCCTCTCTCTCTCTCTCTCTCTCTCTCTCTTTTTCTTTTTCTCTTCCTAATTTTTAATAATTCTTTATTGCTGCAAATATTACAGATGTCCCCTTTCCCCCCATTGAGCCTCTCCAGCCCTCCCTGCCCCGCCCGCGGCCTTCAGCACCCTGTGGTCTGTAGCCACGGGCCATGCACATATGCACACAAGGTCTTCGGTCGGTCACCACCCCCCCACCCCCCCAACAGCCTCTTCGTACCTCAAACTTCTGGGCCTCGAGCCGCAGCTTGTCAATGTTCTGGATGACTTCGGCCAGCTTGTGGTCCAGACTGGCTGGGTCTCCCATCTGAGGGTTCTTCAGGTACACGTCTTTCATCTTGGTGATGGCCTCTCTGGAAAAGCGAGCAGACGGAGGGGGAGGCTGAAAACCACGTGACCGGCAGCCGGGCTGGGCGTGTGGGTGGAGGGAATATCGGGGTCCGCACTCCGGAAACGTCTCCTTAGGAAAGAGCCCTGCTCCCCGGTGTATCATCCAGAGGCCGGCGTTAACATGCAGCTGCCTCTCGGGATGGGTTCCCCGTCTGCAGTGTAAGGCAATCCAAACAAAACCCAAACTTTCACGGGGGAATGCGCCTGCAAACCGAAGCTGCCGCCGGCCTCGGGGCGCTGCGGGCTGCAAGATGTTCACGTCACGAAGAAGCCCAGCTAGGCGCCTTGGAAAGGTGATTTCAAGCTATTTCAACTCTTAGGACATGGAACCCGGCCTGGCCCGCATGGCTCGGTGGCTGAGCGTCCACCCATGAACTAGGAGATCACGGTTCGATTCCCAATCAGGGCACATGCCCATGTTGTGGGCTGGATCCCCAGTGTGGGGCCTGCAGGAGGCAGCCCATCAATGATTCTCTCTCATCGTTGATGTTTCTATCTCTCTCTCTCCCTCTCTCTTCCTCTCTGAAGTCAGTAAAAATATTTAAAATAAAAAGGAATGGGACCCACAGTTGGTATCCATGGTAGGTGGGCCACGGGGCTTAAGCCGCATTCTGTGGACCCCACGCCTTCCCGAGACCGTGCTTGGGAGCCCCACACCGCAGCCTGCGCGTGGGGCCTGGACACTCGGGGCCTGGACACACGCACGCTTGGGCTCCGGCTCTGTCAGCTCCGAAGAGCTCGGGGAAGTAGGCCTGGCTTAGGGGGCTCTCAGTGGGGCTTGAGTGGTTAGAAGTTTAGAGCAACGAGAAATCTAAGCCAATGACACAAGGTGAACAAACCAAACTGTCTGAGCCATGGGCAACAGTTTAAGAGAATGTCCGAGACCCTCACCACCCCCCCTGCCCGTTTCCTCGCAGCTCAGCCCGTGTCCTGCCTGCTCCCTCCGCCCCCTCACCCCTCCAAGGCCATCTCCCCATTGGAGCCCTCGGCCCGCTGCACCGCCAGCCCCTGACCGGCTCTCCTTCCTTTTCCTTCACAGCACGTGCCATTCCCAACATCACATAATCTGCTTCCTGTCCGTTTCTTCCCACTGGAGAATGGGGAGCCGCACCGTGGGGCCGGGCAGCGCCAGGGCACACTGATGCCCTGAGGGCTGGGCTGTGCCTAAGACACACTGTGATTTGTCTTCTGGGCCCTCTCTGTGAGCTCCCTGCGGGGATGAGAAGGCTAGCTGTGACTTACCATGAAGCAGGAAGACACGGACATTTTGGACCCAGCGCTAGGAGGTGGGGCAGGGAGAGGGTGGGGTCACTTTTCTCATCCTCGTTTGTATTAAAAGGCTCACCTTCGCTCTCTCACCATAAAGGAGATAATCCTACGTACTCTGTCCCCCAAACTCAGAATAAAACCTCCGGATAAAAGCATCCCCCAGTTTGTAACAGGGCAGCCCAGTAGGCCAGGCAACACGTGGCTGAAACTAGCGCTTCTATTAAAATCCAGGCGAGGACTTCCCGTCTTTCCAAACTGAACTCGGATTTCTTAACGACCCCCTACGGATCCACTCTACCTTTGGTCCATCTCCTTCTGCATCTCCTTATTTAACTCGTCCACCTTCTGCTGGAGCTTTTTCCTCCTCTGTTCGGGCGGGAGGTTGCTGAAGTCCTCGGGCGCCGCGCCCTGCAGAGCGAACAGAGACCCCGGAGAGGCCGGTGGGTGGGCCTCCTGAGCATAGCGGGCGGCGGCGGAACCCGGACCCGGACACCAGGGCGGTCCCCAGACACCAGGCGCGGGAAGTAAGCCCAGGCCTTTCCCACGACACCAGCATCCCGCATGCAGACCAGGCCCCAAGCCGCTGTGCTCCGGCCCGGCCACTCCCAAAGGCAAGAGCGAGGCTGCAGGGGGGAGGGCGGGGGAACACTCGGACTCGGGGAGAATCCAGACAAGTCTTAGCTAAGACTTTGTCGGTGGCCACACTGAAGTCCAAGGCCGTTTCAAGTTCGGGTTTCGTCCTAAAAAACGGGGTCTGTCGCAGGCACTGCTCCACGAGTCTGAGTCCCGCTTCCCACCTCTCCCCAGACCCAGGCCGAGGCAAAAAGTCCCCATCCCCGAAGTGACAGGGACAGCGAGTTCCTCAGAGAATGTGGGTGAAAGGCTTAAACGAAAAGCAAACCCTCCCTCCCCCCTCACTCTCGGCCCTCGGGCTCTGGAGGTCCGGACAGGCTGTGGGCCATCGTGAGGGTAACCTCGGGACATTCCTCAGAGCCAGCCCTGCAGGGTGTGGAGCCGCCTCAGCTGCTCTCCTCCATCTGAGCGTATTTCCGTATCTTGATTCCCTCCAAAAACAACCGCCGTCCTTCCTCTGCGCAGGCCATTTCAGTGGAAAACACCAACAGAGAGAGTGTCTAGACTGACACACGCTTGCTGGTTAGAAGCTCGGTGATGGTTATCAAGTTCCCTCACTTCAATGGGGCAATTTCCATAAAGAAAGAGAGGTTTATTCGCTGCCAAGGGCTAAGCCAAGGGATTGAGACAAGAGTTTCCTCTGGAACCAGTCACACCAAGGCAGGGCGGCTGGGACAGAAGGGACTCGGATAGTGTCTCTCCCGAGTCCAGCTGGGTCTGCTGAGTACCGGGCACGGGGGCTTGTGACCCAGGCTCCCAGGCTGCCAGGCCTCGGGCTGCCAGTGTGTGACCCGGCAAATAGTACGGCACCAGGGCACACAAAGGCTGGCGTTCTCAAAGCCATATGTGCGTGTGCGTATGTGTGTGCATGTGTGTGTGTATGGGGGGGAGTAATAAGATGTAAGACCACAATGGAAGTGACTTCCCTATTGCCAAACCAAGGATCCCATTCGCCTCTAAAACTAACGTGAAGCAAACTAACGTCCCTATGAAAACAGACCGGCTGTTTTCCCTTCCTGCACCGCCTGCTATCACACCTGAAATCCTGCTTTTCAATTTGCACAATCCCATTGCTTCCGCGAGCTCAGTGGCTTGTTCTTGGGCCAATTTACGTAAAGCCAATCAGCCCGTGATCTAGAAGCGAGGATTGTGCTGTTTGCTCTGTCTCGTTCCTCCACAAACACAGGGTGGGACCCGCTGCCTCAGAGGGCGGGGCCCAGCAGGGGGTCGCCCAGAGGCTGAGGACAGCATGAGCCTCGTGCTGTGCGGAGGTTGCAAATGGCCCGCACAGGAGCCACGCGTGGCTGCTGAGCTGGTGGAGGGTGGCCAGTGCAACTGCAGGACTGAATTTTAAAATCTTATTTCATTCTGATTAGCTAAGATTTAAAGAGCCCCGCATGTGAGTGGCCACGGGTCTAGATGAACAGCTGCAGGGACCGTGTAAGCAGCACACACTGTGCTGTGACTTCCAGGAATGAGTCCATGGATTCTTCCTGGCGGGTCAGCGTCAGTCCAGCTGACCCCTGAGGGCCCCTCAGTAGATGGCCTGCGTTTCCGTGATGTTCCTTAAAACGAACCTCGGTCACCATGGTTCCCACAAGCCTTGCGCTGCCATGAAGGCTCAGGCCGAAGCTGCTTCTAGGTCCGGCGACACAGGGTTCCCGGGAAACCCTGGCAGGGCCTTCTGCCCAACGAGCCTTCTGAAGCTGGAATTCCTCACCCAACACCCTGACCGACGGCTGCGGTGGCCACGAAGGCCGAGTTGTCACCGTTATCACAGTGTTGTTTGAGGTGTAAACTACACGCCCCTGAAGTGGAGCTGTGGGCTGTGCTGGTTAAGATTCTTTTAACACGTGGAATGGTTAGCTTTGTTCACGGGGGCTGCACAGGTGGGAAACAACACGACACTGAGTCCATCGGTGGCTTCCCCAACCAGCTAAGCACAGGCACCAGCGCATGTACCGTAAGCGGCGCCTGCATGAGTCCCGGCCCTCGGTCCGTGGGCCGCTCAGACCTGGGTTCGAGCCTGGCATCGTCCCTGCGTCTGTCGTGGGCTCTGTGGCTCTCAGGGAGGGGCATCTTACAACGATTCCATTTGCTTTTATTCTAAAGGAGCCAATAAGTAGACTCCCGCACTCCATGTGTACGTTTGTATGTAAATAAAGAACATGCGTCATCGTTTTTAAGGCTCTGATAGTAAAAGAACAGACACCATAGCCGAAATCATGAGTTAAGCGTTAATTTTCTTAGCAACTGGGAAGGATGGAGATCTGTTAGGGGATCTATTAGATTCTCAGCCTTCGCGCTATGAGGTCGAACAGAGACAGAGCCACGCAGCGCACACAGGAGAAGCACAGGCCGGAGGGAAGGGCGGGGACAGGAGGCACGGGGCGGGCACCCAGAGGACACACAGGGGAACCTGGTCAGACCAGGGCATGCAGGGACAATCGTGCTTACCAGCTTGAGAGAAAGCTTCATGGACAAGTTCAAGGGGGTGACGGGGAAAGAGAGAGAGAGAGAACACATCAGAAGGAGAGGAACGTGGTCAGCCCCACCGCTGTTCACATTGCAAATCCACCTGCCGCTGTGAGAAGGGCGTGGAGCGGGTCTGTGCCAAGCTCCCGAGAGGGGCCGGTCCCCACGGCCGCCCTCAGCTGCCGAGTCGCCGAAGCAGAGCACACAGGGGAAGGCAGGGTTTCCGTTTGTGGTGCTGCGCGGGCCCCGTCAGCCCGGAGAGAAACGGAATCAGTTTGGAGTCGCCGGCCTGCAGCCCTCATATAAGACAGCCTTCCGTCCCCCAACCTGCTGCAGGCTGACCGTCTGAAAGGCAACCGCCTCCCCGACATGCAGCTGTATGTCCACGTGACGGAAATCTGATAAGTAGGAACACGTAGGCAACAGGCACGTAGGCAAACTCTCAGGCCGCCGAGCAGCAAACCAAGGGCTGGAAGCTGCTCTGGGAAATGGCCTCGGGAGCCAGAAAGCCTGAGCGCCAGGCCCAGCGCCCACCCGGAGAGGGTGGGGTTGGGGGGGGGTCACAGGCTGTCCATCGACGGAGCCCTGCCCACAACGGACACGGAGCACTCTGGTAAGGTGACCAGACGTCCCGCTTTTGGCGGGACAGTTCCGATTTTTAACAATTTGTCCCACCGCGTTTTAAAAAAGTCCCGATTTTTGGAAAGATTCTTTTAAATCTTTTGGACTTTTTTAAAACGCCGTGGGACGCGGGACAAATTGTTAACAATTGGGTCCTTACACTTGGGGAATTAGCAGGAGCAGCTGCTCCAGAACGTTAGCTTGGGAGCCAGACAACCAGCGGTCTCCACAGCCAAGGCCACTCCCGGCCGGGGCCTCTGGGCACCAGCAGGAGCCTGCAGCTGCCATCCTGCGGGGCCGGAAGGTGAGCAAAGGTGTAGGGACCACTGGGCCCCAGACGGACAAAAAGGTCTCAGAATTCGGAGAAGAAACACCTGGTTCTGCATTAGCAGGCGAGGCCTGCTCTGTGGCCACAAAGCCAATCTGGCAGGTCGGTGCCCGGGAGCCGCTGCCAGTCCCAGAGGCTCAGGCAACGGGGAGGGGGACCCAAATCTACCTCGGGGACGGAGTTTGGAGGAAAGTGCCCTTTGCTTTTCCGTTAGGAGGAGGGAGGGGGTTCAGATGCCCCCACCGGATTTAGCAAGTCTCCTTCTTAAGACAAACTCAGAGTCTGCACGTCTTTGTCACAGGCTGAGCTCTCAGAGACCGTCTGCAGGGGGAACGCAGTCCTCTGAGGAAGGAGGCTGCGAGCAGAGTTGGGGGGAGGCAGGGGCCGGTGCAGACAGCCGTGGCCGTTCTCTGGGCAGCGACGGCGGCTGGAGCCCCTCCTGAGAACTTGGCACAGACCTGCTCGTCACAGTTTGAGTTCTTTGCAGACAACGCTCATGGCGCACAGCGGGAAACGCTGCAAAAGCCTTCCCCGCGGAGCACACGGCCGGGGACGGATGTTTCTCGCACATTCCGGCCCCACACCGCTGCCTCTCAGAGCCTGGGACTGGAGGTCGGAGCGCTATCTGCTCTCTATTTAGCCAGTTCTGTTTTTTAAAGTTACACAGTCTTTCTGGAGCATTCTAAAATACGGGATCCTGCCTGGGCCGAGTTGGCTCAGTGGATAGAGCATTGGCCCTGGCACTGAAGGGTCCCAGGGTTCGATTCTGGTTACGTACCTCAGTTGCATGTTCCCCAACCGTGGGCTGCGAGCAGGAGGCAACCAATCAATGTGTCTCTCTCACATCGATGTTTCTCTCTGTCTCTCCCTCTCCCTTCCACTCTCTCTAAAGATCAATGGGGAAAATAACCTCTGGCGAGGATTAACAAAAATAAATAAGTTAAATAAATACAGTACGGGACCCTAACACCAAAACAAATAGCCTAAGAATATTACCCCTTCCTAATAACAAGCCGTTAGGATTGAGAATAAATCCCAGGAGAAACAGGAAGTGCCAAATTCTGGGACGCGTTCCACTTTCCCGCCCTCACAGTGTCTGCCACTGCTTTGAACGACGAGGAGCCGGTTCTCGGTTTTACGCCGTAAGCCAGCCAGTTAGAGCTTTTGCGGTGAAAAGCCGAATCGCCTGCTAAGGGGACGTTTTAAAGGCTGCGTGCCCGCGGCACAGCGAGGCCCTGGGGCACTGAAAGGCTGTCAGCGTCAGGCGGCGGTTATGGAGCCTGGGAGGCACAAGGTCAAGGGCACTGAGCACAGAGAGCTAGCGCATCTGCGTTACCGGCAGTCACAGGTACCAACCGCAAGGACCAGAAAGGGGACCGCGGGATAAACTCCGGAGCAAGGTGTGCGAGGGCCACAGAGAGTCTGCCCACTCCTCCGTGACCTTGGGCAGGCTTCACGGATTTAGGGGCTCTCCAAGCTTTATGGGGTGACTCCCTTAGGGTTCATCTGTTTCGGGTGTGGAACTGGGTGGCCGGGCCACACCACTGCCATCTGGAGAGGGTTCCCCTCCGGTGACCATGCTCCGCAGCTGCGTTTTAGGGGGGAAATCCTGCCGTAACGCCTTCTCGGGGTGCGTCACCCTCCATGGAGAGGGGGAAACCAAGCCCCGCTGACTGACAGTGTCAGGAAGTCTGGTTGTTACCGGGGAGTTGGGTTCCTTTTTCCGGGGGAAGGAGCCCGGGCTTGAGTTTATACAATTAGGGTTTTTTCTCCCCGGTGCCCAGGTCTCTCAGGTGAGAATGTCATTTCTTGGTGGAAGCCTGCCAGAGCGCACGGGGTCAGTCCCCAGTCTGGGTGGTGGCGATGGGGTTAGTGCCTGCGCCGTGACTGCCGGCCTGGCCGTCACACACACTTACAATGTGGTCCCTAGCTTCAAATGCATACGTGCGTCTCCCTATCGTCCTCTTCGTGAGTTCTTTGTGGAAACAGAAAGACTGAGTCTGCCAATGATCAGCAAGAGAGCATGACACAGTGAATAAAATGGAAGTAGCCATTGGACTGGAACATCTGACCAACCATGGGTAAGGATCTTCAAAATTATTTGAGCCATTTTGGTGGCCTTTTCCCATATAATTAACTCTAAAACATGGGACAAAATGGTCCACACTTTACAAGTCCTTTGCTCAGACCGGAAAAAGAAATTCTAATATAAGACAAAAAAATTACACTTTGTAGATTGCAAATGGAGAACATACTCCCTAGGGTAGAGATGAAATAATGGTTAATAATGGTTAAAACCGGTTTGGCTCAGTGGATAGAGCATTGGCCTGCGGACTGAAAGTTCCCAGGTTCGATTCCGGTCAAGGGCATGTGCCTTGGTTGCGGGCACATCCCCAGTAGGGCGTGTGCAAGAGGCAGCTAATCGATGTTTCTTTCTGATCAGTTTCTAACTGTCTATCCCTCTCTCTTCCTCTCTGTAAAAAATCAATAAAATATATTTAAAATAATAATAATAATATAATAATGCTCAAGTGGTATGCCAGTCTTTAAAGATGTTCAATGAACCAACATTTTCTTACAACTGTCACCGACTTACAACAAAAAGGACTTTATCTTGTCTAATTCTTTAGAAACAACATCAGCTCAGAAGTGTGTGCACAAGATTTACACATTCTGGTCGCAGAAACTGCTTCAATCTGGGTCTGAAAGCAGCAAGCACGATACAGTAAAAGACACTGAAATCACAGGTGTGTTATCTCCTAGGATGCTTTTCCTGTCTGGGCACCATCGTCTTAAAAAAAAAATAGAATAAACAAAACCGCAGCGAGGACTGTGTCACTTTAGTCATGCGCCTTCTGTTCTGAAATTGCTTAAAGATCACATTTATTCCCCCAAACCTCAGATTTGTTTTTCACTTTGAATTTCCTAATCCCACTTCTATAATCCATTTCCTTTAGCTTTTCTCCTTCTCCTTTTGCTTTCTGTTTTGGCACTGCTACCAATCTGACCCAACTAACACAGAGAAACAAAAATATGTGTGTGCATGTGTGTGCAAAAGAAAACACACTCACCATTTAGGGAAGTTCTGAACAGAGCTTTGCTGAGCATAGAATTGAGGGGGGGGGGGAATAAAATTCACTGTGCTAATTATGGTTTTAAAAAAAGAGAGAGGGAGAGAGGAAACTGCCTCAGTTTTCTTATTTGTCAGTAGAATAACCTGAGGAAAGTAAATGAGCGTGGAGTCTGGCATGGAATAAGCTCAATAAACCTCGGGGGCTGCTCCTTCACCTTTTAAAGATAAATGCCGCATCGGGCCTTCTCCAGCCAGACATTCTCCCGGAAGTTTTACCAACATCTCCTCCAGTCACCAGAACCACTGGGACCCGCGTCTCCCCATCGGACCGAGAGGCAGGGCTCAGAGACCGGTGTCCTTGTTACCCTCTGTCCCTTCAGTGATTAATCATTAAGGAACTATATCCCGACTCCACAGCGACTTCCAATTCCTCATCTCACAGGGCGCTAACTTTGGAAACTGAACCTTGAGCTTCCCTTTTTTTGGTGAAATATTAATGACTCGAATGTTTTAAAAGGGAAGTGGAGACAAGTCCTTCTGGAATGTACTGAAGACAGAAAGAACTCGGGACGGGATGGCTCCCTCCAGCCGCCCTGCTTTCCTTCCTCCTCTCTTCCTCCTCTTCCTCCTCTCCCTAACCGCCTGTCTCGAGCCACAGGTCCTGACGGCTCCCCGTCGTGGGAGAACACAGCGAGTCCATTCACAGACAAAATAAGTTACGCCGAGCGAACATGCAACCAGAGCCCCCGCGGGAGACAGGGTTCGGGCAGGACTTACCCCTCGCTTTAGGCTCCTGAAGCAGTGGATTTTGGGTTTGGAGGTCATGAACTCGTTGAAGCGATGGGAGAGGGGTTCCTTTTGCTGCTTGGGAGACTGGGGGCCGTTGGGAACAGCAGAGGGTGAGGCAGAGGCAGGGGGAGGAGGGGGAGGCTGATGGGGGGATGTTAAGAGGGACATAAGCTACGTGTGAGAGATGGAGCAGTGACAGTAAACATCAGAGACAAGAAGATAAAGACACAAAACAAAAATAAGCATCAAATAATATTGGAGATCCAAAAGCAAGTCAAACACAAACAATTACATAATTTAGGCCATGGTCCAAAGGAAAACATGGAGGAGGCGCCAAAGTGAAGGACAGGATGAGAGTGCGGGTTTTAGTAAGTAACGCAAGAACAGCAAGAAATCTCCGACAAGCAGCCCATGCGGACTCTCACATGCAAATTACCGTTCTAACCAGTTACTCTAAACCGGGGTGAGCCAGAAGGGTAACCGTCTGAAACCACCCAGACTTACACAGCAGGATGGGAGAAAACGGAAGACCTTAAATGCTAGGGTTGGGAAAACAGCAAGGTAATTTTGTTGTCGTTTTTTTTAATTAAAGAGTCAACATTCTACGGGGAAAGCAGTCATGTTGCCTCGATCGTTATGTTAAGCCCCGGTTAATGCCGCCATGCACCTACGTGTTACACTATAAAAGAGAACGGAACGTGTTCATGGATCCGCGTGTTAGCATGAGTTCAAAACCGAGCTACTGGCCCACGGAAACCATGCAGTTAGCGGTGCCGATCAATGGTTACAGAGCACCTGCCCCCCGCTCTGCCAATGTGGCCGGCGGCCCGAGGAGCGAGAGGCATGATGGGAAATGGTGAGGTCAGGCACCTGTTAGTGTGGGTGACAATGCGTCTGAACTTGGACAAATGGCCATGGCAAAGGTCCCGCCACCAGAGAGAAGACTGATTTCAGAGAAAAGAGCACACTGGCCTTTTTTTTTTTTCTTCTTGTGGCATTCAAAAGCTACAGGTTTAGAATCCTAGTATTTTCTTTCTTTTTTTTTTTTTTAAGCCCAAATGATAAAATCAAAATCTACACACTTGATCAAACTCATTCGCACCAGGTACCAACCGCCAGTACCTTGTTTTTCTTGATGAACGGCCATAGCTTCCCTTTGGGTTTGCCCCCGAACTTGGGCTCCGCTTTGCCGTCGCCTCTGGAGTTGGAAAGGCTGTTTTCCGACACGGTGCGCTTCATGGGCTGCGTGTAGTCCTCAAATTCGATGTCTCCAGGAGGCTCGAACCCTGACTTGTAAGCCTCTATGACCAGCTGCGAGTCCTGGAATCACACCCAAACACATTCCAATACATGTGAAAGCTTTTTACACAATGAATTATGTTCACTGCATAGGTGTTAGTCTCAGGAAGCCGCATTAATTGATAACAAATATTTTTCTAGTGCCGAGACCGGTTTGGCTCAATGGATAGAGCGTCGGCTTGGGGACTGAAGGGACCCGGGTTCGATTCCGGTCAAGGGCATGTATTAATACCTTGGTTGCGGGCATATCCCCAGTAGGAGGTGTGCAAGAGGCAGCTGATCGATGACTCTCTCTCATCGATGTTTCTAACTCTCTATCTCTCTCCCTTCCTCTCTGTACAAAATCAATAAAATATATTAAAATATATATATATATATATTTTTTTTTTTTCTAGTAATAGTTGTATCATTAGAAAGAATAATTTGTAACACTTTAAGTCGAGTTGAGGTCTGAAGATACTTTCAATAACCAGTTTTCTGCATTTGGAGAAACAAATATTAATTAAGAACTTGGCTAGCCTGGTCAGTGTGACTCAATGATTGAGCGTCGACCTATGAACCAGGAGGTCACGATTTGATTCCTGGTCGGGGGAGGGAGGGCCACACGCTTTGTTTGCGGGCTCGATCCCCAGTGTGGGACATGCAAGAGGCAGCCGATCAATGATTCTCTCTCACCATTGATGTTTCCATCTCTCCCTCCCTCTCTGAAATCAATAAAAATAAACAGAGAAATTGGGCCATATAAGCAATTCCCTGAAAAAATACAGTCACACAAAAATCTATTTCCTATCAGAAGTTCTTAAAGCAATTGAGCATACACCGAGTCAGAGCAAAGAGTAGATGACCTTGCCAAAACCGGTTTGGCTCAGCGGTAGAGCGTCGGTTTGCGGACTGAAAGGTCCCAAGTTCGATTCCAGTCAAGGGCATGTACGTTGGTTGCGGGCACATCCCTTGTAGAGGGTGTGCAAGAGGCAGCTGGTCGATGTTTCTCTCTCATCGATGTTTCTATCTCTCTCCCTTCCTCTCTGTACAAAATCAATAAAATATATTAAAAAAAAAAAAAAAAAAAAGAGTAGATGACCTCTCTACTTTCTCAGTTCTTTGTGATGTTACTTTATCACATAATTTTGCTTCATTAGATATTGCTCAGTCTCTCCTCTTCTAGAATGTAAGTTCTCTTCCTTTTGCTCTACCGAATCCCTCGTATACCCAATGGCCCCCATGGGCATGCAAGTGTGCTGAGTGAACCCATGCACCGATGCCTACTCCTCGGCATGCACCCTGCTAGGCACATCGGGTCACCATGTCCTCGGGGGGCTCCGAGGCAGGTGTTGGAGACACATGTGTGAGAAAGTGCCCCAGAGAGAGGAACCCGGGCACAGATAAAGCATTACAAAACTACGAGTGATTATTGGTACCGTATTTTCCGGCGTATAAGATGGCCCCCCCCTAATTTTACAGTTAAAACATAGGTTTAGGCCTATATTCGCTGTATAAGACTACCCCCCACTTCCGAGGCAACACCAGTTCTTTTTTTAATAGACCGCCTCTCGGACTCTGGCCAATCTGAGCAGGCTTTTTTTCGGTTCAAAAGTCGTCGCCGGAAAATACGCCGGAAAATACGGTAATGACATTCTAACTCAACAGTCATCTGATTAAAAACAAAACAACCAGAGATCATCTGAAAAGATTTCAACCGATTAGCCGTAGTTATTGTAGTTAAAGGGAAAACACCATTCTGACATAACCTTGTGAAACTGTAAAATGGCAAGGAAAAAGAAATTTCCGAGCTTCTGATGTAAGAAATGAAAGTCGGGCTTGTTTCAGAAAAGTAAAGATTGAAGACTTAACGTATAAACCCGCCATTACTAGTTCCCTTTTAAATAAGGTGACCAGCCGTCCTGCTTTTTAACAATTTGTCCCCCATCCCGCAGCGTTTTAAAACAGTCTCTGTTTTTCTTTAAAAAAAAATCGGGACTTTTTTTCAAACGCCGCGAGACAAATTGTTAAAAAGCGGGACGTCTGGTCACCTTACTTTTAAAGGACCTCTCCTCACAGTAACTTGCTGGCGATTGTGGACATTGTACACAGGGTGATTCCTGAGACTATTTCGTGATTTCTGTCCATGAGCCAGGCACATAAAGCCACCCAAAGCCTTTGAGCAAATGGAAATAAAGATTCAGCATGAGCCCTGGCCGGTTTGGCTCAGTGGATAGAGTGTTGGCTGGAAACTGAAGGGTCCCAGGTTCGATTCCGGCCAAGGGCATGTACCTTGATTGTGGGCATATTCCCAGTAGGGAGTGTGCAGGAGGCAGCCGATTGATGTTTCTCTCTCATCGATGTTTCTAATTCTCTCTCTCTCTCCTCTCTATAAAAAAAATCAATAAAATATATTTAAAAAAAAAAAAGATTCAGTGGTGATGGGAAAATGGGAAGGGCGCTCAAAACATGGAAAACCCAGACAGCACGGCAGCAGCTACTGCGGACACTGGGAGCCAAGGCCTGTCACGAGAAGGCTGCCTGAGGGCACCTGCGATACTTACAGTTTTCTCATCAATGCCCTCGGCCGCCTTCACTATTCCGTCCAAGCACTTCCCGATGATGGGAATCACCTGCCGGTCGACCTCCGCATAGGTCTTCATGGATTCTCCGAGCCTCACTATCCTCCGCTCCTCCATCTCCTGTATTTTCTGTAACACCAGATTTTGTGTGAAATTCGCCTGCCCGCTGCTGTCATTGAATGCTGCTGCTTTTCCATGGGCCAGCTGTCCAGTAAGCAGACAGGCCCTTAAGAGGGGCTAGAGTTAGAGCGTCTGTAAGGCTATGGCTCCTGTGCACGCATTTTATGAACTGGCGGGCTGCCCAAATGTGTGCCTTACACAACTCCGCTCTTATTTCAGCCAGAATCCCAAACTCAGGTGCTTTCAGTGTTAACACCATTTGGCATTCGATTTCAAACGTTTCCTTCATCTTGGACCCACTGCTTTACCCTTTACCAAAAGCAGGGCATTTGGGTAACTGTCTCAACCCACGCCGGGCTGGGATATAACCAGTGCAGCTTCCTCCTGCGAGGTGGGGGGGCTCTTGGTCGCGTGCATGCGTGCAGACGCTATGAATAAGGTGACCAGACGTCGGGATTTTTAACAATTTGTCCCACGGCGTTTTTAAAAAAAGTCCCGATTTTCCCACCAGATTTTTAATAATTTGTCCCGCATTCCACAGCGTTTTAAAAAAGTTCTGATTTTTGGAAAAAATCAATATTTTTAAAACGCCAAAGGCGGGACGGGACGTCTGGCCACCTTAGCTATGAAGCATTACTGTTTTTTTCTACAACTGCACTTGAGACTGTAAAAGATTCACCAAGTGACAGGACATGTGTATATCTTTTTTGTTTTGTTTTATGGCTTAAATACCTTTTCTCATACCGTTTTTGAAAACATAAAGGAGTCAAAAGAAAAACAATTCGAACAGCTGTCACCTGTTCAAATCCTACTCCTACGAATGCTAATTGATTGCTAAAGTTAAGCTGGCTTTTTTGGGGTGAGGGGGCGGTAAACCGGAAGGTCCTTTTAGCAAAGGAAGAGTTCATCTAAGAACCACAGTGCTAGGCTGTAGGGGCAAACCAAGGAAGCTAGCAAGGCTACTGATGAATATTGAGTAAGGTGACCAGACATCCCGCTTTTGGCGGGACAGTCCCGATTTTTAGCAATTTGTCCCACGTCCCTCGGTATTTTTTTTTTTAAAAATAGTCCCAATGTTTGAAAAGAATCTTTCCGCGGGACAAATTGTTAAAAATTGGACTGTCCCGCCAAAAGTCTGGTCACCTTAATATTGAGACGGACAGTTTCCTTCGCTTTACTGCGAGTCCACGTTTGTCGGAAGGCTCTCCGAAATGAGGTGGGTGAGAGGAAACGGAGAATCATATAAATAACTTAGACTGGAACCAGCAGCCACGACCCAAAGCCACACGTTTCTTAAAGAGACAGACGCACCTGGAATATGTTGGGAATGTGAGTGTGGTAATAGTCGCGCTGCTCGTGGTTGAATTTCTGAAGATTCGATGAATAATCAGCTTTGCTGTCCTCTGCCATTTGGTGCCGGATTTGAGCTTGTTGTCGTGCCTGGGGGCAAAAACAAAAAATTTTTTTAAAAAAAGAATATCCCCATGTTTACAGAGACTAAGTGAAAGCCTAGAATTGCGAACCGGAGACATAACCTTGTGAAACTGTAAAATGGCAAGGAAATTTTACCTGATGGTTCAAATTTACCTCGAATGTGATGTATTCAGCAGGTGCTATATTTTTAAAGATTACAGTTTACAGTGCACATGATTTTGTGTCTGTGCCAGGGGTACAGCATAGTGGTTAGATAGTCATATACTTTACAAAGTGTTTCCCGGATATTTCGTTCCTACGTGGCACTGCACACAGGTATTTTGATATTATTAACCATATTCCAAATGCCATGCTTTACATCCCCAGGAGTTCTGTAACTACCAATTTGCATCCTTATTTTTTATTTATTGATAGATCTTAGAGAGAGAAGAGAAGGGAGAGGGAAAGAGAGAGAGAAACGTCAACTTGTCCTTCCATTTATTTATGCATTCATCAGCTGGTTCTTATACATGCCCTGCCTAGGGACTGAGCCAGAAACCCTGGCATATCCGGACTATGCTCTAACTCACTGAGCTCCCTGGCCATGCTATTGCAAATGCTAAGATTTCATTCTTTTTATGGCTGAGTAAAATTCCTTTGCATATATGTACCGCATCTTCTTTATCCATCCTCTACTGATGGGCATTTGGGTTGCTTACATATCTTGGCTGTTAAAAACACAGCATGATAAAACCAGTTTGGCTCAATGGATAGAGCGTCAGCCTGTGGACTGAAGGGTCCCGGGTTCAATTCCGTTCAAGGGCATGTACCTTGGTTGCGGGCACATCCCCAGTAGGGGGTGTGCAGGAGGCAGCTGATGGATGATTCTCTCTCATTGATGTTTCTAACTCTCTATCCCTCTCCCTTCCTCTCTGTAAAAATCAATAAACTATATTAAAAAAAAACAACACAACACACACACACATAGCAGGTGTTATTTTTTAAAAATGGCTTAGAATTTGAATTTACTTTAGGTAGGGATATGTGCTCTAATGTGTCACAAACCTCGACATTCCCTGATGTCTTAACTTGGCTTTCCTGTCTAGGGGGACACAAGAGTCAGCATTCTTTCTCAGCTGCACTTGCACTTGGCCAGATTCACAGGTTTATGTCACCTGGATGGCTCTTGTGAGAACCCACACACACACACACACACACACACACACACACACACGTTTTCTTTGTAAGGAGGGGGACAGGAGGGAATCCATACATTTTTTTTAAAAAAAAAATATGTTTTATTGATTTTTTACAGAGAGGAAGAGAGAGGGATAGAGAGTTAGAAACATCGATGAGAGAGAATCATCGATCAGCTGCCTCTTGCACCACCCCCCACTGGGGATGTGCCCGTAAACCAAGGCACATGCCCTTGACCGGAATTGAACCCGGGACCTTTTAGTCCGCAGGCTGACACTCTATCCACTGAGCCACACCGGTCTCGGCCATTCATACATTTTTATTTATTTATTTATTTATTTATTTATTTATTTATTTTTGCTTTGATGTGAGTTTTTCTTTTTTCTTTTTACATTTTTTAAATTAAAATATTATCTGTGTATATATTTTAACATTGCCCCATCCATACATTTTTAAATTCAATTCTCAGTGGGGTTCCTGAACGAAAAGGGCACAGGAGCCACGATCTAAACGGGCTCCCCACACTTGTCTGTTGTTCCACTTTGAACAAGCAGTGAGCTGCGCCCTCCTGGTGCTCTGTATGTCTGTGTATGGATGCTGTTTTGTGGGCTTCCTCCCTCCTAAACCATCAGTAATAAAATTCACACCTGTGTTCCTCTTCTCACTCACACTTTGGTTTCTCACATGCATACAGGAAAGGGGCACGTGTTTGCATGTTACAGAATGGATGTCAAAGCTCCAGCCAGTACATGTGTACACGTCAAGTCACCCCCAGATACCAGGGGTGGTGAGGCTGGCAATCCGTCCTCCGCGCACCCAGCACCCGGAGGGTCCCCAGCCAACTCGCTCAGGAGCGCCGCCCGCTGCCAGAGGAAGGGGGCTTGGCGGGCAGCTGACCTGGCCAGCATGCCACCCGGAGCCAGCACACCACAGGAAAAGGGCTTGTTCCACATCACCAAGGCAGCTTCTTGTGTTTGCTTTTGCCTTGTTTGAAGAACCCAACGGTAAAAAACAAAAAGGAAAAGGAAAAGGAAAAACAGCGCCGTTCAAACGTAGCCCCGAGAAGACATGCGGGGGCTGATGGCGATAGCATCTCCGTGGGCGCTGGCACTGCAGTTCACGCTGGTTTCCTGCCGTGACGGGAAGGCTGGCCTGGTTCTCACTTCCTGACCCTGACTCATAGGGGCCTGGGGAGCCAGGGTGGTCGCTGGGAGAGGCTTCCTCTGTCCTCTTCCCCATCCACACAGACACGCTTCCCGAACCCGTCCCGGTACCAGCAGCGCCACACCGTTTCCTTAGGGCCCCGCGTGTTTCTGTTCCCGAGGCCTCAGGGACCTCAAAACCACCGTGTGCATTCCTCACCGCCCCTGGCACCTCAGCTGCCACTCTCTTAGTTGGCCACCACCACCCTGTGCCATCCTGACCATATGCTGCGCTTGGTTTCCGCTTCACTGTGTCTCAGTAAACACATCACCCAGCCCCGGCACGCTAAGTGCCCAGCTACCCTGACAACCCCACGCCCTCCTCCTAGATCCTTCCCCACCCACGCACTCCATCTGTCCCTCTCAGGCCGCCCCACGGACCCTCTTAAGCCTCCCAGTACCTGGCCTTCACCTTCACAGCTTGGTTACAAATATGGAAAAGCACAAGGAAATTCCCAGGCAGGCCTCAGCTGCCTCAAACAGTCTTTGTTTCATTCAGGAAAAGACACAAAAACCCCGGGGCGGGAGGGCTCACCGCTTCTGTGAACAGAAGGACCGGCCAGAAGGCGGAGAGTCCAGGGCTGGTTTTGGAGAAACGATTCTACCTGGGTGACTTTTTGCAATATCTTAGTCTGACGCAGAGATCAGTATGCCATTATCATATACAGGGCGTCCCTTCCCCACCAAAAAATGCATACAAACTTAGAATACAGCTATAAGTTATATTTACTAAAATGCATTTCATTTAACAGCTATTAGCTGTGAAAATGTGTATACATTTGTGGGGGGACACACCCTACATATACACGTATGTGTGTATGTATGCATGCATGTATTTATGCATGTACACACACACACACACACACACACAGACACACAGACACACACCACATGCGCAGATAAATGCCTCCTGAGGACAAGTCCCTCATGCCAGCCTGGAATATTTTCCTGATGAGGTCTGGGGGCGAGCTCTCGGGAGGCCCCGCAGCACATGTGGGAGGAAGTGGCTGTGATCCGCTTCCTCCTCCCTCCCCGGAATCTCCAGTGATGTCTTCCCTGTGGCTAGCTGATGGCCTCTGTGAGCATATTACTGCATAATGGTTTCCTGATGTCCTTTCCTATAACTAGGGACCTCTGGTGCGAACTGTGGAAGCGACCGAAAGCAGCAGCCAGATGTGCCAGCTGGGCAGGAGAAGAGCCAGATCCTCATCCGCCGGAGGGAGCGGGTCTCCCTTCTACGTTAAAGAAGCCGGTCTCTCTGGAGCTTCCCTCGAGCAGCAAAGCTCAGGTGACCAGACGTCCGATTTTTATTTATTTATTTTTTAATATATTTTTATTGATTTTGAACAGAGAGGAAGGGAGAGAGATAGAGAGTTAGAAACATTGATGAGAGAGAGTCATCGACCAGTTGCCTCTTGCACACCCCCTACTGGGGATATGCCCGAAACCGAGGTACATGCCCTTGACCGGAATCGAACCCGGGACCCTTCAGTCCCCAAGCCGACACTCCATCCATTGAGCCAAACCGGTCTCGGTTAGACGTCCGATTTTTAACTATTTGTCCCGCATCCCGTTTTAAATGCCCCGGGATGCGGGACAAGTTGTTAAAAATCGGGACTGTCCCGCCAAAAGCGGGACGCCTGGTCACCTTAACAAAGCGCAGACAGAGAGGGCAGAAGTCCATGTATTTCTGCGGCCCCTCTCCCGCTCACTAAAGGGATAGAGAAGCACTCCAAGGAAGCACACTCTGGCTGTACATTCGGTTCTTCAAGGTCACAGCGGGAAGGCAGGGCTGTCTGAGCCTCCATCCCGGCACCCATCTGCTTTGCATTAATCCTCACTTCGGAATCCCGGGCCCAGGAATGTGCCATTGTCCGGACCAAGTTTTAATGTGGAAAGTCTATTTTTGTTTTGTAAGCTGTTGTGTTTAATGTGACGATGGAAAGAGCCGGCTCCATCAGTTACTTATAATAACAGGTATGCTTCTAGAACCATCTTTAATAGAATTTTCAAACATTATCTGAAGTGAGCGGTTAGTGACTAGATGTGTTAGGAAGTGCACCTCCTCACGCTCATCTACACGGAGATGAAAGCACCTCGATGTCTCATTTCTTTTTAAGTCCGTCTAAAAATAGCCACTATTATCTTCAAGAGGCACAGTAGTTCCATTAATTAAAATTTCCATGCTAACACTGAAAGGTACCATGGCTTACAGCTACATTCTGCAGGGCAGAGAGTTCAGAAGGTTTGGGCTTTTTTTTTCTTTTTTCTCAATGAGTCAGAGTCACGGAATTTAGAGATAATCTAAAAAAGCCCAGAGTGACTGTAAGTCACACACACCTTTGAATAAGACCTAGTCCGCTTTCACTGTCAGTCACAAAGACTGAATTTAAACTGGAGAATTCCTGCGACAAGCCCTTGGAATCTCCCCAAATAAATCCAAGTGAAGTATGTACTGGTTACGAATGAGTTCACTGCTAGGTAACCTTTTTTTTTTTTTTTTAAGTTATCTTTATTGTTGAAAGTATTACTGGGTAATTTTTTTAATTTTTAAAAAATGTTATTGAATTTATTGGAGTGACACTGGTTAATAAAGTGATAGAGGTTTCTGGTGCACAATTATTTTTT